GTCTGTAGAAATTTTTCCCATAATTCCTTCCGTAGGGGAGATAATTAGCATTTAATTTTGCCATTTTTGGACAAGGGTGCATTGCAATGAATGCCACACCTAGACCCCAATACCGACAAAGCCCAAATTTTACGTGGAACGAGTTGAGATTATAGGTGACCTAAATCCAAGAGATGGGTATGGGGGCCCTTACCGTCTAGGAGGAGAAGCGGTAACGGTAACATGGCGGCGGAGCTGGCAGAGCCGGCGGAGCTGGCAGAGCCGGCGGAGCCGCAGGAGCCGGCGGAGCCGGCTGAATGGACTGGACGGGACTAAAACCATGTGTACCGCCAGTGCTAACGCTGGTGGTACAATTACAAAATCAGTGGTTGAAGAGGTCAGCTTCTAGTAAACTTTATAACTTTGAGTGTAGAACAAACTCCATGGACCTTTTCACAGATAATGATATACATTTCCGATGATTGTGCACCAGGAAGCTGCACAGATACATTTTCTGACTGAAAATAGCAGTGCAACTATATCTAGTCTAGACTAGAATGCAATACGCATATAACTCAGTTGGCACATGCATTTCATTATCTGTGGAACCAGTGTTTGTCTCTTAAGAAAATTAGTTGCTGGACCTAAAGTCCAGCCATCCTGAAAATTAGCTGGACTGAATGTCTGCTAGGTGGGAAAACTTCTCAGCCCGCTCTGAAAGTTGTCTGCCCCGGGCAGACGGTCCAGCCTTAATTTCTAACACTGTGTGGAACGGTCCATTACTAATTGCACATATTTACATATATTTTCACATTTTTAATGATCCTTTCTTCCATGTGTTGGTCTGTTTTTGAGCAGAATATGATATGATTTCAATAGATGAATGATTCTGTCAACCCTAATAATAAACAAGCTAGTTTATTGTAACCTCCTAAAATGGAAAACAGGTATTGCCTTTCAACATGTATGAAGGTTTTCATTTTTAGGTTCTCCTGGATGAAATGTTAAACAGAATTGCAACTTTGGCAATCTAAAATATTCAATTTTTCTTTTTGTTTTGCAGAATTAAACATCTAATACTTATTTTGCCTTCTCTAACCATAGGTTATGAAATATGGAGCAACAATCCCATAAAGAAATAAATTCCCTTTTACATAAAATGCATTAATTAAAAACACTTCTGAATCAATATTTCAGTCTTTTAAAAGTTAAAACATTAATATATATTGTAGAGACTATAGAACCACCCTATCAGCATATACAGTGTATCACATCTTTCTTCAACATGTCAGACAATATATAAAATTGGTCAGTTATAATCTATGAGTACATTTTGAATTTGGTATAAATTTCAATTAGTTTGCTTTGTCTGCTTATTTGTCCATGCTTTGCCCATATTTCTTCTTTTCCTTTGTTCAGTCTTTGCTGAAACAGAATGTTCTGGATGAGGTTTTGTAATATGATATTGAGAGAGAGAGAGTACACAGCCTTTCAATTGTCATCAGTTCTTCATATCTCAATATGTGTCCATATTTGAACATTGCAGTGTCTCTATGCATAACCACACCTCTTCTAAGTTAATATTTATCACATTCAGTCTGAAAAGTCATTCAGGCATTGAGAACTGTCTTTTTTGTAGTTTTAATTATCACATAGCATACTAGTAATGTCCTTAGACAGTCCTTAGTACTTGATTAGCTCAAGAAGCTTATACCGCTCAGGCTCAACAAAAAACTGACAGAGAATATCAAATGCCTTGTCAGATTTCGTGGTCAGGAAGTCCAAGAAGACAGCAGTTTTTTCAGGCGATTCCTTTATCCACTCATATTCATAGTCAGAAAAGATGCCTTCTTGGAAAAAGAGATTGTTCAAGTAATGGAGATCAGGTTCTGTGATCTTTTGCCTCAGCACATCTTTGTTCTTGTTGACAACTGAAAGTTAATTCAATAAAATAAATTCATAGTTTTAATACAAACTTAATGTGTGGAGATGATTGGCTCAAGTCCCAGTTAAAATCCACTACGTCAAAACAACGTGATACTGGGTTGGACCTCTCACATGTAATAATGTGTGTTAATAAGACAGCACCTAAGGATTTCACACAGTGTTACATACTACTGTACAGCATTACTGTTGAAGTTTTTTTGGGGCCGTAGCATTAGTCCAAATGTTTAATAGTCCAAAGGTTCATTGGTCCGAATGTTCACTACAGAACCTTCGGACCAATGAACCCTTGATACAAAAACCAATGAAAATGTTACTTTTTTTCGGACCAATGAACCCTTGGACCAATGAACCTTCGGACTATCAGGACGCCCCCGTTTTTTTAATGACATTCCCAACAGCAACAACTATGTGACAATGCACAATCAACTAGTTTGTCAAAGATTTTGCAAACTAATGAATAATACCTCATTATACTCCCCCATTTGCAATACAGAAACAAACACAAACTGAATTACTGAAAATATTTCACAACTATTTATCCATAAATTTGTAAGTGAAAAAAGAATTTATCTTATTTTGAATTTCTTTCTCATACCTTGCTTCCAGTGTGGTGGGTAGACCAGGTCTGCAGAAATGTATCTACCAGTGTTTTTGCATAGCACGTTCGTTGGTCTGTTGACACCTTCAAGTATTTCTTTTTTAAAGCGAGTTGGCTCCTCACGGTCTTCACTTGTACAGTGTGGACACACCAGGTATTTGCCATAAGACACCCCAGGCCAGTCCTCTTCAATAATGGCCATGAGGTAATCATGAGCTCGAGAAAGAACAGGCCACATCTCTAAAAGATCTGATCCTCGGATGGCTATAGTGATGACCCAATCTGTGGTACTGTTGGCCATTTCACGCTGTTGATGTCTCTCCTCTCGAGACAGCTGCATTTGGCAACTTTGAAGCTGTGCATACACTCCATCCTTCCAATCTATATGCTCAGTCAAGGTATGTTCAAGGAAGTTGTGCAGACGAACAGATAGTTTTTCATATATGCCCTCTGGACACTGGAATGGAAAATGGATCTCCAGCGCTAGTTGTGTGGTGTCTGAAGAAACCTTGCTGGGCCATTTTTCATCTAACTCGGACTGTCTCTCCTGAGTAAGAAGACATGGAAAATGGAAGGATTGCTCTTCCTGGACTTGATAACACAGCTCCAGTTTCTGCATCAATTTTTCCATGCTTGTAACTTCAGTGCTTGATAAACATAAAGGTTCACATAACAACTCCATTGCCTTTTTTGATATGATGCCTCTGTTGAAGATTTTATCTTGGGTGTCTTCTGCTTCAAGTCTTGGCATATTCATTGGCTTTAGCAGCTTTGACAAAACATCAGCTTTGTCATGATTGAGCACTGCTTTGAGAACATTGACAAGAACTTCTTGCTTGTGAAACACAACTTTCTTCAGAGAAGGGCTTGAATCAAACCAAATTATGTCTCCACAATCAGCAAGAAAATTTAAAATGTCATTAGTTGCTAAGTGAACTTTTTTGTTGTAGGTTTCCACCTCTTGACTCCAGGATGCTGGAGCATACTGCTTGATAAGCTTCTGTACCTCATCCAATTCAAGTGTATTACAGGGACTGTCATCATACTTCTTGTTGCAAATATTGCTGGCAGCTTCAACCCACATCTTTGGTAATTGTACAGCATGGTCTTTGGCAACAGTAACAAGGAAGTCTTGTAGTTCCTTAATTCCTTTCATGGTCTTGGAACTCACCCAGAAAATGCTGTCAGGGATGTTTTTGACTTGTTCTTTTAAGGCCATCAGTTTACTAATCTTGTCTGCATAGGCTGGAGGGATGGATGTTTGGGTTCCATCTGTGTTCCCTTCAATTTTCTTTATTTGAGATTTGCACCAATCCTGTTGTTTTTGCTTGTGATCTCTAAGCTGTTTCTCAACTTTATCACATTTTGAATCAAGGTCTTCAACTTTATCAACATGAGTTCCAACAACAGCCATTTTTACACCAGGCACTTTTGCTTGTACCTTTTCAATCCAGTTACCAATATAGAACTGATAATGTTTCTTATTTCCTGGATCATATTTTAATAAGTCAAATGTGATAAGGACCAAGCCATGTTTGGAAATGAAAATGGGATGGCCAATTTTGTAGACATCATGTCCACCAAAGTCATTGATATTAAAAACAATATCTTGGTGGGAATTCCACGTCATCTGTTCCACCACTCTTGTCCTGTCTGCTAATATTGTGAGTGTTGACGTTCCTCTCTGCAGTGTGCGAGAAAGACTAGTTTTTCCTGCTACTGTTTCTCCAAGCAAGTTGACCTGTATTCTACTTGACAGGATTGCCCCAGTGGTAGTTAATGCTTCAAAATATCTTTTGATTGCATCAAGACCTCTGTCAACAATATGCTCTGGTGGTTGTACCAGAGGGTTCCCCCTCACATTTAATTCCACCAAGCTTTTCATATTCCTTATCTGAGGTGGCAGGTGTGTGACGTTATTGGACTCCAGATCCAGTGATTCCAGCCCAGTCATTGAAACAATATCTGCTGGTATATAAGATATGTGGTTGTGATGCACATACAGCCCCTTTAGGTTACCCAAGTACAGCTCCTTTAGGCTACCCATGCCACACAGTGCTATGGGGAACATAGTGAAGCAATTGCAAAAAAGAAAGAATTTTCTAAGCCCGGTCATGTCCTTGATCTCAACTGGTATGTTAGATAGCATGTTGCCAGTTATTGTCAGTGTTTCTAACTTACTCATGTTAAACAGTGCTGTGGGAAATGTAGTGAAATTATTAAAACCGATATTGAAATCTTTAAGCCCCGTCATACCACTGATCTGCATGGGTAATTCAGATAGATGGTTGTAGGACAGGTTAAGACTCTGTAACTTAGTCATGCCACTTAGTACAATAGGGAATGAATTGAAGGCATTGAGAGAGAGGTCCAATTTTGTGAGCTGTGGCATATTGAATATGGACTGTGGTAAACAAGATAACCTGTTACATGCAGTCTCTATTACTCTAGCATGGATGCACCTGTCAATGGACTCAGGTAGGCTGTCTATATGAGCATCATTAAAATGAAGGTAATTCCAATCCTTTACAATGTTTGGTGTTTCAGACTGTGGAGACTTCTCAAGTTCATATAAGAGATCTAGCCCCTTCTTGCCTACTTCTACTAATTCTCTGCCAGCCATGTTGATGCACCACTACTGAGAAGTTTCTTTTGGTCTGTTACCATTAAAGTGCAGAAAAGGGAGATTTCAGTGACTTCAATTTCATTTGAAGAAAGCAAACCAGTTATCAAAGTGATTTCCTTTGTCTTCTCTTATCTGTGATGATGCCTCAGAATGTTTACCTACAATAAACAAGGCAGCAAAGCTGTCAAATGTACAGACAAAAAGCTGAAAATATTAATAACAATGCACAAGATAGGCTACTCTCAATTCTGATGCAAAAATGCATTATGCTTAACTGCAAATTCAACATCAAATTTTTATTATGCTCATCAGGTAATACCAATGTAAGTAAAATGTGTAACAAGCATAGGGCTTCAGGCCCATGGGAGTTTAAGTTCACACTTTGAAAATGCCGATATGAGAAAATGAAAATTTCACAGAAAAATTGCATAAATTCCATAATAAATGATAACCCAAATGAGCTGGCTTTCTAATTTGAACTGCATGCCAATCCTAAAAATCATTTCCCACTTTCACTCAGTTGACATGCTAAATTATACCATATTATCACTGAGCCTCTTATGCGTCCATTCGCAGCGGAACTACACAATTCCAGTTCAAACTCGTCCACACTGTGCTCTTGCCATCAAGTCGGCAAGCCAAAGGCAACACAGGCCACATGTGGACTATGTAAGAAACATCTAGTGCCATTAACCACAGCTGGACAGCATGCTCACTCCATGCATACCAATATTAACAGCCACATACAGGAACAGATCAATTACAACACTTCCGCGCCTTTCAACGCACATCGTCAACACTCTCTTACCCGTTCTTATAAAAAAAAATGATAATAATAATAAATAAATAACAAATAAAGAAAATAACAGAAAATAAATATATAACAAAAATAAATCAATAAATGACTATAATAAATAAAAATTGCAAAAAAAAAATAAAATAATAATAATAATAACAAAAAGAAGAAGAAAAATCAATAAATACAAAAATGATAATATAAAATGAATAAATAGATTTAAAAAAAAAAGAAGCCTGGAATCATCCATGTCACGGGGCAAGTTTAAACTTACTTTGCCAACATAGGCGGGGCCACACCCTCAAGCCATCTACCCAAGGTTAACACCATACCTCACTCCTCTCCTCATGCTTACTGCAAGTGGACATCAGGGTGTGCCAAGCAGGGGAACATGACCATGCTTCTGGTGCGGACCACTCACAGGTAGCCTCTCACATCATGGACCTCACAGACCGTTGCCCCCTCAGGAGCCCCCACATCCACACCACCTCTCCAAGTACAGACAAGCCGGCTTCTGGTGGCACATTGGCAATACCCTGCACGGTCTACACATGCCTGACAAGGATGGAGTGCAACTGAATACTTGGGCATGCTTCCTTCCATGGTGTCTTTATTGACCCCACCTTCAATAATTGCCAACCTCACTCAAGAATCCATCTTAATATTTTACCAATTTATTGCACCGCTCGGTCATCAAGGTGTTCCTGCTTGAGCAACACAGGTTGACTCCTGCTCTCACCACCAACACCAACAATTATTGAACTGAGCAAATTGCAGTTTGTCAGATTCAATCATTCACTATGTTCAGAATCTCAGAATGGAAGAAATTGGACATTTAACACTGTTCTATTGATATTTTTCACATCTCATCAATTTTTTTAGTTGATCTTATAAAAATGGCAGTCACCTATTAATTTTTGTTTTATGTTAAAAAAGTGTTAAAAATGGAAATAAACCCATTTCAGAACAGTGCAGTCTTGTTTACATTTTGGCATCTTTAAGGCGNAGAAGCATTACTAACCTGAGAGGGCAATACTGGCCTGATATGGCAATACTGGCCTGAGGGGACACTGCTGTTTATATATGCCAATTGTAAACCAAACATGGCTCCCACGCACTATAGTTGCCGATCTAGAAAACTCAGCTGTTACATACTCAATTCATTACAACATCGTTATCAAAGGTCATGATGTATGTAATATGGTCCAAGTTATCCAAATATTACAGCAACTTGTCAAGAACATCGAGAATTGGTAAGTTATAGTGAGGTTTTCGCCGAGCAACTTCTGGTTTTCGCGGTTTTTGCGGTTTTCGTATTTTCGTAGGACCGTACAGTATGTCATCCAAAAATTTATCTCGCTAATTCGCCAGTTATATTTTCTCCAAAAACGTGCACAGATGATGTTAGCAAATCGCCTACAGCGGACTCCGCGGTATCTAAGTTATCATCCATAGTCTTATGAATGGTGTCAATGGCAATGCCATTTGTATTGGCTCGGGACATCACATTTCAAGAATTTCAACAAGAAACGAAAACTGCATCAAAAGTCTGAAATTTTCCTCATTTCAAGGCTTACCTCAAATAACTGAGGGATCTCCTTGTTGGTCAAATACTTCTTTGCGTCACTACTCGTCATTTTGACAAGTTTTGACGGTCTGTTCCTGACTTAGGTCGCTATCGTCCCAACTTCTTTGGCTCAGTATATTTGCTTGACTGAGCTGTAACCAAGGATAACAAATATGGCGGCAAATTAGGTCACGTAGCCTCAGGCAAGGTGCGCGAGGTTACGCGTGAAAAGTTAATACCCTAGCGTGTCCCGAAAATAAGACACAACTTGAAATCAGATTAACTGATATTAAATATCTGTTCTAAGCTTTCTTTTTTCAAAGAATTCCCGCAAAGTAATCCACAGATGAAAGTTGTTATTTGAATTATATTGATTGAAATTTGGGGCCCTGTTTTAACTTTTTCTATGCTATTTTAACGTAATGCTGCATCTTATATTTTTACCTTGTTATGCCCAATGCCATCATGAAAATAATGTTGTCCATTCTGTGATAAAATTTTTGAAAGGTAGAATGATAAAAAAACTTGATTTAAAGACATGGATTTTCACATAATCTAGATGGAACTATTTTGTTTGGAGCGCAAGAATTTGTGCAGCCGAATCCAAGATGGAGGATAACAAGGATTTGCAGAAAGCATGCATATTCACCTTTGTTTTGTTGTTATTTCTGAACCAAACTCAATCACAGACATCGGAGGTAAGAATCGTCAATTACCTATCGCTACCTTTAGGGTGATATTACTTAGAACACTCTGAGTTGATCACAAATCCTAAAATACTAGGACCGGCTATTTTTTTTCGATCACCATACATCATGTACGGTACACGGGGTCTAGGCTTGCTAAAATTTTAACATTATATATATATATATCATTTAAACGAGTCGTCTCACGAAATCATCTTTGGCTCACGCATAACTATTTTTCGACGCTCATGCATTATCACCCAAATTTATTTATTTATTTATTTATTTTTATTTTTTGCAATGTTTTATAGATCTACAGTACCTAGAATGTGTTTTGCTGTACATAAGTTAATGCTGCTTGGTTGTCATTAAGTTAGAAATTTAAATTAAATTGGAATGTCATTATATGTTGGTACTGACGATAAATATTCCACCTCATTCCAGGAAAAAGTTAGTGATTTCTTCAAGAGTGGTCACACTAATAACTGGGCAGTGCTTGNTTTCCCCAGCAAAAAGGGGGGTTCTTTTGAACCCCCCGAACCCCCCCCCCCCCCCCCATGAATTTAAACATGGAGTAACTTTCTATATATATATAAGATGTGACAACCTATGTTTTCATATTAAACTTAACAGTGAGCCAACCTTTTAAATATCAGACATGAATTAGTTAAAGTAGTCACTAGTGGCATAATTTCATTATTGCCTATTTCAGCCAGATTATCCTGATGATAGCAGATGACATGGCATGTAATCCTAGAAATCCAAGGCCAGGTAATAGTTTTATCATTGATTATCTATCAATAAAGAGTTGAAAATAATACTAACACATGTTTTATTTTATTTGTGTGGAGTAGGAAAGATGTGGCATGTTAAAAAAAGTACAAAGTATGCCTCTTTTATTGCGATTAAACCTAGTTGAATATCGCTTTCTCAATAACAAATATAGTAAGTGTAATTTTTGACTTCATGTAACACCTAGAGACACTATCAAGTTAATAATTCCTGGAATGTTCTTTTTGAACAGCCATACTTTTCAGTAATGCTAATATAAAACTTGCAACTTAATTTAATGTGGAGTTTATAATTCCTGTCATGTTCTACTGTTGTAGCCATGGTGTTCAACAATGCCAATATAACACTGGCAGCTTCATCTGGTGTGAAGTATTATAATTCCTGGCATGTTCTTCTGTTGTAGCTATGGTGTTCAATAATGCCAATGAACAGATCAATGTGTATGGCCATGACGTGGAAGTGGACTACAGGGGATATGAGGTACAAGTCTTTGAGTTTACATTTTGGTAAAAAGTTACTTACTAGTAGAAGTACAGCTTCAGTTTTGCTTCAGCTTCGAATACTGAACTGAACTAAAATATTTCAAAGACAGTCCGTGTTATTCTTTTGAAGTATTCTTATATCATTTTAGATAGTACTGGTTTATAATGATGTCTCAGAGGAACAGTCAACCTCTTTAAGTAACCAATTTCAAGTTGGTTTCTGTGATCAGTTGTTCTTTAAATTTATGTTGTTTTGCCTTCAGGTGACGGTTGAGAACTTCATCAGAGTAATGACTGGACGGCTTCCTCCCAGCACCCCACGCTCCAAACGACTCCTCTCTGATGACAGAAGTAACATTTTAGTCTACATGACTGGTAAGTGTTGTATAATATAATATGACCAAGTAATTAGCTTATATTTGTTGCATGATTGCTAACTCGACGAGCCTTTCCCATTATCTTGTCTTTCAGAAAATAGCATAAGTTCTGTACAATTCCTTGGTTTTGGCGGATTGCAGATAGTAGTTAGTTTACAGTGTGTTGGTATTTGTTTACAATGAAGCTTGTACAATACTGTTATATCAGCCTTTTTTCTTGCTTTTTAAATTTTTTTTCCCCAAAATTTCACCAGAAAAGTTATACTTTGCCACTGATGTACTTTAAGGTCATGGTGGTGATGGTTTCCTGAAGTTCCAAGATGCAGAAGAAATCTCCAGTATTGAGCTTGCTGACGCCTTTGAACAAATGTGGCAGAAACAGAGGTAAACACCGTAACAGTAGTCAAAAGAATAGATGAGGTGATTGGATTTGTGTATAAGTTGAATGAAGTTTGAAATTTGTTAAAATCAGTCCTAAATTATAAAGTTGCCAGATTTTTTGTAACTAGATGCATACATGTAACTAGATGAAAGAGGCACCAGACATACCAAAGTTCTTAAAATACTTTCAAAGTCACAAAGATGCTTTACTTTTTTTTTTCTAATTTGAAAGTATGTTTAGTAATTAAAAATGCTGACATATGATGGGAAGAAATGTTCTGATATATATTAGAATACTTTGAATGCCATGGAATGGTTCAGAAGTACTTTATTTTCTTGTAGGTATCACGAGGTGTTATTTATAATTGACACGTGTCAAGCAGAATCCATGTACCAGAAGTTGTACTCCCCCAACATACTGGGTGTGGCTAGCAGCAGAGTGGGGGAGGACTCCTTGTCTGTAAGTATACTGGGCGTGGCTAGCAGCAGAGTGGGGGAGGACTCCTTGTCTGTAAGTATACTGGGCGTGGCTAGCAGCAGAGTGGGGGAGGACTCCTTTTTAGCAAAATCACAGAATTTCGTATTTTGAAATTCAGTTTTGATGGTTTTTAATGTTTCTGCAATAAATGTCAGAGAGTTTTTTTTTTTTTTTAAATAAGCTAGGCTTATGTCTGTTTTAACTGTATATTAAATACATGATAATTTGCAAGATGCATTGAGATTTTTTCCCTTTCCCATCCATTTTTAGCTCATAGTATTTAGAACCTCTTTTGTACTTTTATGGTATAAAATATCCATCCCTGAAATATATTATCTTCTATAATAACTCTGTATTTTTCAGCACCATGTAGACTCTGCTATTGGTGTCTGTGTTATAGACAGATGTACATATTATGTTCTATAATAACTCAATACTGTATATTCCAGCACCATGTGGACTCTGCTATTGGTGTCTATGTTATAGATAGATACACATACTATGCTCTGGAGTTCTTGGAGAAAGTGACCCCAGAAAGCAAGAAAACTCTTAGTCAATTCGTAAGTAAAACAATGACAATTGTCAGGGACGGATCCAGAGATATTTTCTGGTAGTCTTCCAAATCATCTTTTTTGGTCCATCCTCTGTTTTTTAATGCTTCTGACAAAGAAATAACTTAAATGCCGGTCAATGTAAACTTGAAAAATTCAGACCATCTTCCAAAAGACCTAGAAAACAGCCTCTTGCCGCCCCTGATTATTAAAACATAAATACACAGACTGGAAATATGGTGTTATTGAAACTTTTTAAATATAATTCTAGTATTTGAGCTATTCAGGTTTTTCATGTACATTACTTCTGCAAATTTAGCGTAGTTATATATTTTAAATTATCAATCTGATCATAGGCACTGGTCAGATTTCAGTCCAGTCCACTTACTTTGAAGTAACCCAACACCTTAGGCTTAAAAGGGTAATTGATATACTGCTGAAACTTCTATGATCTGATGAATCTTTGTACTGACTTCCAGTTAAAAGTGTGCCCAAAGTCTGCCTGTGTATCCACAGTGGGTGTGAGGACGGACCTGTTTCAGCGGGACCCTAAGAAAGTGCTGGTGACAGATTTCTTTGGCAGTGTGAGGAACGTGGAATTGTCACCATACACTGTGACACTGAATGATACTGGTGATACTGGTGATAGTACAGCGTCTGACAGGGAAACTTGCAGGTAACGTTATGGCATCTCATGATCTGTTAACATTTTTATCTTTTTTGTATTTAGTTATTTGTTTTTAGTTAGCAAAAATGATTTGGGTAAGAAAACAACAAAATTTAGATAAGATGAAAATTAAAAAAGAAGGTATTTGGATTGATTCAACTCAGGATTTTAAAGTTTTATCCTGGCTGAAATTTTATACTTTTATATAATTATCTAAAATATAAAAAAAAAAGGTTTTACTTGGCCTAAAGCGTGGGATTTTCAGGAATTACAATTGCATATTTTCATCTGTGACACAGAACTTTTTTGCCTTGCCCACTAAATATGGTTTATTTTGCAGTGCTGATTCCTGTGCTCCGAAAAAGAAAATACAAAGGAAAAAGATGTCATATGTCGACCAGTTTCCGGTAGAACAGTTTTTAAAGAGGGTAGGATGTGTCTTTGTTCTTTTACTATGATTGTTTCAGTGACACCAAGGCAGCAGAAGTTATATATTGATATTAAAAGATGTAATAATTCTGAACTGCTAATCCCATAAATGTCGATATTTAGTCTTTGTTCTTTATCTGACAAAAACCGAAAAATGTGAAAACCAAGAAATTTTTCCACATTGGTATGGGATGATGTTTATTTGTCAAGTATATTTAAATTAAGAAATGACTTTTTTTTTTTTCAGAGGTGATATTATTAGGAGGCATATTTGAATAGTTTAACGGGAAATATGAGTACAGAAAGCAGAGATGAGAGCAGATAAATAAAACATGAACCAGTTCTGAAGTAAGATCATAAGTCATGGTGCAGTTGAGTTCTTCGAAAGGACGGAGATTGACTGTAACAGATTTTCAAGTGAAATTTGAAGACTCTGTGTCAGATTTTGTTGGAAATTCTCCGTAATTTGCATGTTCATTGTCTCTGTGCCACCCTGCAAAGTCCGTTGTCATCATCACTGAGGTGAAAAGAGAGCCAACATGTTATGCAGATTTTTTATGTGCAATATTTTTATAACAAAACTATGTAAAGAAAAGTATCTCTTTTTAATCATATTTTACTACAGGTTGTTGAATTGCTCATGAACCTAGAACGGTGACCAGGACAATTATATTCAGTATTACAGTGAACCAAATATGAAGACGATACGATCACATGATTTGCGTAGGATAATTAATTCAAAGCATAATCTATGCACTTGGCTTCTGGGAGTTTTTTCACTTCGGCCGCACACGTAAGTTAATCACTCCTTATCTGCTCCAGGAGGCCCGTCATTCAGCTAATCTGATTGTACTCAGCGAGAGTCACTGCAGAGTTGAATCTATCTGCGTAGAAAGATATTGTCATTGACATTGGGAACACCCTAAGATAAGGATGTCCGGGTACTCATAGGTGTACTTGGTTCAGACTGATTATTTTCTGTATAATTTAAATAACTTTTCTTATTCAGATCAGTAGCATATAACCAGAGAGTCTGACAGAACTAACCTCAGGTCGTACATGTACAAAGTGATAAACGTGAACCAAAAATAAAGACCCGAGAAATGGAAAATGAAGGGGATATATTAAGGGAAAAACTTTTTGTATCAGGTTACCCATATTATGTCATTCTAATCCATCTCATCTCCGAAAACGCAAATAAATTTATTGCCCTATTAACAACCTCTCCATATTTTATTTAAGAAAAAAAATTGCTTCTTACTTTACTTTTATCTTGCATGACCAGCTGTCCGATTTCCTAACGTCGATGATGACTAAGTGTTGAGGAAAAAAAGTTATGTCGCATCTTACTTTAACCTTGAAATCGGATTCCTTGAGGTGATAAAAATGTTTTGACGTGGAATACGCAGAATAAGATGAGTATCTTTTATGAACTTGAATTGACTCGGTTTAGGTAAATAATTACCGTCTTTACCAGAAATTACCAGAAAAAGAGATGTCTATCTTCCTTGGAAGGGAATTTGATATCACCATTCGTCGTGGTTTTTATCATAATAAGGCCAACCTTTTCAATTTTTTTCCTCCGTGAAATAAGAATTAAGTCCAAAGCTACACTCACTGTTTAACGGTATTTTTGTTGTTGTTAAAGGGATAATAACTCTTCGTTTCGGCCAAAAAATGAATTTTCCTGGAGTAAACAACAATTTTCCCATACTTACCAATGGTTAATGAATCCATTTTTACATTCAAAGTTAGTCCCTGGTTTTTTTCTAAAAAGTTTGTTTTTTTCTTAAAATCTCTTAAGAGATTTTAAAAGCGTATAGCCATCAATGGAGGTCACATGGTCTGATGACAAGCTCAGATATCAGAATAATAGCTATAACTGCCATTTTTAAGGTAAAACAGAATGTATTATATTTCTATGAGTTATTCACAATGTTTTTATTGAGAAATATAGAACTCATACGAAGAGTTATTATCCCTTTAAGTGACTGTTAAGTAGATAGATAGTTTTGGTATTTTGCCTATTTTACACACAATATCCTCATAAAATGCACACGGAGGAACTGCATAGCTGGGCTTTAATTTCTTCATCCCAAATGTGCCTAAGAAGAATAGCACGGGTGCAACGATTTTAGTGTGCAACGTCCCCTGTGAGAATTTGTCTCATTTAACGCCGACTTACGGTTCTCAATCTTAACTGGAACATACTGTTTTTCTCTTTTAATAAGAATCACTCTGAATGACTTCCTAAAAACAGTTCTCAAACTGTTACATTCATTTCAGAACAACATGAGGAAGTGTAAAAAAAATACATCATATGTTCTAGAATAGATTGAGAACCGTAAGTGAACGTTAAATGAGACAATTTTTCGCAGGCATATATAGGGCGGTCCCCTTTGAGAGAGCAGACACCCGTCACTGCACTTAAAACGTTACGTCTGGACTAGGAAGCATATAAACATGGTACTCATCGGTGGAGGAGATATCTGATTATTTCATGCCTACCCCTGGAGCTGTTATCTGAAAAAATCCTCACGTAAAACATAAAATCTAAGAAGAATGGTCTCTGTTAAAAGTTTCCCTTGTTGCTTTAATAGACCGTGGTGGCCCGACCTGGAGAATACGTGGGATTCGTCTGTAATGAAATTGTCGGAATTTCTTTTTCCTAGAAAGATGAAGAAGATTTATTTCTTCGAAAATTGCACGTGTGGCACCTCCCTGTACTAGACAGTGGATTATCTGGTCACTGTTCAGGTACATGTATCACCTGATGTACCCGGAGCAAGAGATCGCATTCAGAACAAGTTGGTCCGTGGACTAACAGATCCGCCCGCTTCTTATGGCCGACCCACTTTGAAGCAATGCCGCTAATTCCCGGATGGTCTCCCGCCTCCATACGCGCCAATACACGGTTTAAATCTCGCCGTACCTGTACCTGTGCTATTCTTCATAGGCACATTTGGGACGAAGAATAAAGCCCAGCTATGCAATTCCTCCGAGTGCATTTTACGAGGGTATTGTGTGTAAAAGAGACAAAATACCAAAACTATCTATCCATCTACTTTACAGTTAACTGCTAGGCCCCTGCAGCGACGGCGTGTGGAGTCGAAGAGACAATCGGCGGATTACTCGGCATCGCTTTTATGTGGAGTCGGCCATATTTAGTTGGCAAATCAGTTAGTCCGCGGATCAACATGTTCTGAAAGCGCTCTGAGAGGGTATTGGAAGCCTGTATTTAATTAACCAGTACCGCAAACTCTACGCATTTATGAGTATTCTACGTATTTTAGGACGCCCCCACCCCGTTGTTTACAATCTACAATAAGGTCTAACAACCAGCTAAATTGATTAATAAAAAATATATAAACACACAAAAAATACTGGTACTAATTGATGAATTGAGAGACAATAATATTATATCATACTATGGGAACAAGGGTCGTAAATAATGAATAGAATAAAAAAATATCTGGTAGTGGGAATGGTCACGAGGAGTAGACAACTGTTGGCCAACATATCCTTAGCAGCTGCAATGTTTTTGAGTAAGAATTAAGCATTTCTGATAAGCTATTGGGTCTTTTTAAGTGTTCGCTCTCTGCTCTTCGCATATATACGTGTTATTTTGCATTTTTCCCCTAATTATGTACATATACATTTATGCATAAAGCAACAAACCTTGGAGCATGTTTTCAACAGAAATTTTGTTAGTCTTGTGGCATTAATTTTCAAAACATGTTTACTGTTTAATGCAAGGTCACGGCAGAAAATCCTTTTAATCAGTGAACAAATGTTTACTGTAACAGATAGGAGACAAGCACTCGCGCACGAGGACTGATACATGTATTTTCTCGCACGTAGCATACTAGAACGATGACAAGGTGGATTTTTATTAGAAATAGATATTCACATAATTAGCTAGAAAAATATCTGTGCATATTTAATGAAAATAGCTCTCTGTAATCTTGGTAGAGGGAGTCTGAGCTTACCTGCCAACAAATTTAATATTATCAACAAGACACATCGTAACGCTGTCTAGGCACGCTGATCAGTTTGGTCACCAATTCTGGCAGTCAGGGTTACAGATAGATATTTTCTCGCTCACGTGCAAAATACGAGTTTCGTAGTACTTTTATCTTGTTGTCGATTTTCTTTTTCAGACAAAATACTTTGCATTGATTAATCCTGCACGCATGTTATTTTGCATTTTTCCCCTAATTATGTACATATACATTTATGCATAAAGCAACAAACCTTGGAGCATGTTTTCAACAGAAATTTTGTTAGTCTTGTGGCATTAATTTTCAAAACATGTTTACTGTTTAATGCAAGGTCACGGCAGAAAATCCTTTTAATCAGTGAACAAATGTTTACTGTAACAGATAGGAGACAAGCACTCGCGCACGAGGACTGATACATTTGTTCTATGGTAAGTCTTCGTCATTTTTCCTATAGGCCAATATGAGCGTGAAACAAGTGTCCAAAAATTGATTTGATTATCAAATCTTTTAAGTCAGTGTTTCGAAATATTTAATATGATGATTTCAACACCAAGGAATAAATGAACACCCATTCTGGAGATGAAAGTAAATGGGATAAAATATGCGGCACTGAATCTCACTCAAATGATAGAATTAGTTATTTTTTCTTAAAGTTTTTATATTGAATTCAGCTTTCTAGTTGTTTGCTGTCATTTTATTACATTTTTCTAACAGTTGTTTTGAAAATAGATTTGCAAAGTATCCGGGAACGCGTCCTATGTCGAAACCTAGAGATGTCCCCTTGATTAACCACATCCTTAATTCCAATGAAAAACGCAATTTTCAAGGTTATATGAAACTAGACGCAATTTTCAAGGTTATCTGTAGCAAATAACACACTTGCCCTGGCACAGTTGTGTATATAAGGCGTACCTAGCTCCGGGTCCTCGTCATTTCAGCGACACATTTTAAACCACCATGAAGCTTATACTGGTTGTTTTGGGTATCTTTTTGTTCTATGGTAAGTCTTCGTCATTTTTCCTATAGGCCAATATGAGCGTGAAACAAGTGTCCAAAAATTGATTTGATTATCAAATAAGTAAATAGGTCTACATAAATCATCATCCATGTGATATTGCCGTAACTTTTTGACTAACATTCAATCGACTTTATATTTTTCCATTTTTGAAACACGATAGAAATTTAAAGAATTGCTATTCCGACGCTGTACCAACACAAATGATTAATAGACGTTATCAAATCGTATTTTTACAGTTTGGGTTTATAAAACGTTTTGACAATATACAGTTCAGTGCATTTAGATTTAACCTGACTTTTCCAGCTGTCACGGATGCTGACATCTTGTGCAGTGACCCACGTGGTCGGGCTGGCAGTTATATAGGTGGCGCCCCTGACGGCTGTGAGTGCACCAACGTGGTCAAGAACCTCTGTTCCAGAGCGTACACACAGACTAGGAACTGGAAAAGAGGGACTAAAGTCAGTTTTTTCTTTTTTTATTATTATTATTTTTAAGATTTGGCATATAGAGTTTTTATTCTTGCTTTCTTTTATTTCATAATTTTATTGAACTTATCTTTTGATAAGTTTCCCTTATTCTCCCGTATTTTCGTTTATTTTTTTCTTTTCATTGCTCATGTCATTATAAACCCTGCACCTTTCCTTGCTATATTTGAGTCCAGTCGTACACATCTGATATAATCACAACTGAAATCGCTTCAGGTATGGGGCAATTGCAACAGAATCCAGCAATTCACTGCTATCGCAACGTTTCCCAGTGGTAGCTACAGTGGCCACGCTGCCATATTTGATTCTTGCACTAGTAACGGGATCAAGGTAAGTTCAACAGTTTGACTAGTCAGACGTTACCAATCTCTTAACAAATATCAGTCTAAACCGTGTAACGGCTCTTCCAGCTCGTCCACCGGTCAATACATTGGGAATTAAACAACCTTTGGTGGACCAAATAGTTGAAAGCTGTCGTCTTTTTCGATAAATAACAGGGTGCATTGAAGCTCGGGATTTTCACTTATTTAGACATCCTTTTGGCGCCTATTGATTTTGACGTGTCATTCTGCTTACCTGTGAATAATCGATTAGATGCATGCTTGAATATGTACCACAATGTAGACTCGCTATATAATATAGGACTTAATTAATATGTCAGAACAACATATAAATATTCTTTTTTATGTTAGCGTTGTTCTAGGAGTAGTGTCTAGAAATGATTAGGATAACACTGTTGACTCTTTTAGTAAGAGGGTTGGTACAATTAATCTGGATGGAGGCGAGGGGGGTCACAGGTACGAGGAAACAAGCGTTGCTCCATTTTCTAAACTTTTCGTGGCGCTCGGATAAATAGCATTTTGTGTGTGTGTGTGGGGGGGGGGGGGCTTTTCGCCCCACATATCGGCAATCCTCGCATAAGAATTAATTAACTATAGTGGCTCCAGTTGAACTGCCGTGTATGGTTTCTCTTTAGGTGTGGGACCAGTGGTGTGGCCGTGGGAAGATGGACTCTAGAATCATACGAGTCGGTAATAACTATCACTACCCCAGCAACGCGGCGGAGGCTTTCTACACCATCGAAGTCTGATGTGCCTGGCTTTAAACGCAGCTACAGCTAGCGCAGTAGAAGACGGCGTTTCTTTTAGACTCAGACTTTTACGATGGAATAATGAAGATTGAGAAAAACTGACATCAAATTGTTTGCTATGAAAATAAATGTTAATTTTGAACGACATACTTTTAAATTCAACTGAAACTTTTGAGTGAGAATAAATGTTGAATTCTCTGATAGATACTGCGTTCAGTTTGTTTTCATTTAAACTCGCTGTTGCTAATAAAGATTTTCCTACGGGCCTCTACTTTGCAGCGTGAGTTTAGGTTAATATTTTAATATTATCTTTCTTTTAAACGGAGGAGGCAGAAATTTGAAAAGAAACGTACCAAAACGTTTTCCACTTACATCATTTCTCATTTATTGTTTTAGAGAATTAATTGATGTTAATATATGTTAATATATTTCCCTAATTCCATAACTGAGTATTTCCTCAATTAAAATGTTTTCTTAAAAAGCGTATGAGTATATATAATGATTTATCATTCACAAATATTGGCCTTACTGTTATACATAATTGAGGAATTTATTTTGAAAATTTCATAGAATGCAGCTGGAGAACTAGAAAATTTTGTGGCGCGGATGTTAGCTGGATAAATATAGGAACATTAGTGGGCATAAGGGTACGAGTAATATTGTAATTGTATGGTGGTTAATTGCTTTTAACAATTGATTCCCTGAACTTAAAAGAATAGAGATGAATTTGTTTCTGAATATTCTCAAACGGTTTCTCATTGGTAGTCATTTAGCTATTCATTGTCGTTCTGAATCGACAAACATTCTTATCAAGTCAATCAAGTTTTGTTCATACATTGATTTTTTTTTACTTCTCAAGATATTGCCAAAGTTAATGCAATCCTTCATTGCACTGCCCCCTACATAAGAACTGTTTGAGTCAAAAGATTGTGGAAGACCCTGTGGCACAGAATGGCATAAATAAAATCCAAATTTTCACTAGTAATCTTTCAGATAAAGCAGTCCAATCTTCTTCTTCTTCTGTGACACGCTTTTCATCAGTCTCTTTTTCACGCGGGGACCTCTACCCCTTTATAACTGCTCAAACGTCTAAAGTGCGATTTACATTCAGTGAGACGCACTCGGGTTATTATGACTATGAGGTTCTCGTCTGGATACAGACCAGTGTTATGACTGCGGGGCTAGAGTTTATTAATCAGGTCAATTGTATTTGCATTGATGAATGTGAACACACGATGTTCAACAAGTTATGTGAACTTCAGTTTTGGCCACGTTGTTAACTGAAAATATGGTTTTCATTGTGATACAGACGGGGGTCTGGGTAAAGAAGGGCCCACAAGAGGCCACAAAAAAAAAAAAAAAAAAAAAAAAAAAAAAAAAAAAAAAAAAAAAAAAAACTTTCTTGTCAATTCTGCTTGCTCCGGATAAAATTCCATGCTATAGTGATACATTAACGTGGCATCTCATATTTGGAACACTAAGAATAAAATCGGAGTCCAAGTGACTCCAAACTTGGAGTCCAGCAGTGGTGCCTAAAATAATTTCCAATTATTAATAATAGGAGATCTCGGGGAAATTAAAAAAAGTAATTACCAACGTTTTCACGTATTTATTTTTAAAATGTGTTTTTCACCCACCCCATATAAAATAGTCCACTGCATTTAGAAATCAAATTCACTTATACTGTAGTGTATAGGATACAAAAACTATACAATTTTATCACAGAATTTTCCCACGTCTATTTACAATGTACAGTATTATGAAACAACAAAAGTTATTTCCACAGACACAAGTTACCATATTTACATCATTTATCACGCAGAGTCCGCGCACTTGTATGTCAAATGATTTTTGCCTAGTTTGACGCACATAAAACTGTGCCTAAAATTGCATTTATCCGTCTTATAGCTTCCAATATGCTGTAAAAGTTTTTTAAAAAACAAATCAGCATACACACAAAGTTCAGTCCCTCCAAATAATTTTTTTAATCTTGTATATTGTGCACATACGCTTATCAAGCATTTCAAAAATACTCGTCTCAAAATGAGATTGATCTTATTTGTATTGACGAAAAAGTTAACTCTTCTCGGGAATTTGTCGTCCCTACCAAATATCACTGTGATATCATTGCCAACTTCAATCAGCCCTAGAGACATTCCTCATCGGTACTGTGACACAAAACACGTTAAGGTGACCATAATAGTTATGTCTTCATTGCTCCCTTCGTACTAATAGTATGTTCATCTCATATTTAAACTGGCAAACCGAAATGTGGATGTCTTTAGATTATGCACGACACCTCACATTGGCAATGTTATCCGACTGTTATCCAAATGCCAACATCAAACGGTATAAAATACAGAAATAAGGCAGGATTGTGTCTTTTTTGTTTTATTTTCGTTTCATAACTGAGGAAGGATAAGTCAGTCGGCCAAGATTAAGACCAGAAATTTGAGGAAAATGCTTTTTCAAGTCAAACCTTTTTTTCGGCTGACCGAATTAATTTGGATTTTTGTTGCACGTCCACTTTATATGATTATGAAGAAAACTTGTAGTAGTGAAGGGAATGCACAAATCTGTACCTTCGCCTGTTATGTAGGCCTATCTTTAAATGACGATCCAAATTGAAGCTGGGTACGTCGTGTTCATCCGTAACAAGTGAGAGGCCCAACAGTATGATATCCTTCTTCTCCTCCTCCAGTGTCTCCAAATTTAATCATGGATATCGGCAGATAACTTGACTCTGTGATGTATCCTTCGTCTGACCGCCAAACGTTGTCATTTTTGTCGCAGTTGCATTCTGTAGAAAAAAAACAACATGACGTAATAAAGAACATCTTATGGACACCAGATACTGCACGTTAAACACATTTATAAATGGCCAGGGGCAGATTTTGGCCGTCTTCTGGGTCTTCCGGAAGACGGTCAGATTTTTAAGTTTACATTGACGGGTATCTAATGTTTTCTGTCGGAAGACGGTCAAAAATGGAGGATGGATTAACGAAGATAACTTAGAAGACTGTCAGAAAACAACCCTGGATCCGCCCCTGAAATGTTTCTAATAATGCGTGAATCCGAGGCGTAAATTCGGATGCATCATCGAGATAGATAATAAAAAATAATATGGGTATGGTTGTGGCAGTGTAGAAGCTCAAAACGTTGCACAAAGGAGTCAAAAAAGTAGGCCTAGATCTTTTACCCTTTTTTCAAATTTGAACTGCGTCTTTCTACATGTGCTTGTACCATTAAGAGGGACGGAAGTTGGGGTCGTTTGAATGATAAATAAACTGCAGAATTAAACAAAAGGAAATCACAAAGACAGAAATCTTAAAACATAGCATAGCAGATTTCTTTTAAGCTATATTATGACCTGAAAAAACTACAATCGACAGACAGATAATGTTTTTTTTTTCACATAGGGAGTAGGTAACTACACATACCCTTAGAAGAGTCTGCACATGATCCATCTTGTGCGCATGCGCAGTTGATAGAGGTACCGTCTGGATCGCCTCCGCCCCAAAATGGCGCTTTCTGTCCATGTCGATCGTACCAGCCACCGTAGCCGTTTATGAGCGAATGGTAGCATTCGTATTTTATAAACTGTGAGCAGCTTGTACCGACGTAATCCACGTATGCCGCCACTTGGTCAACACTCGCTGTAGGAACGAAAAGACACAATTGAAAACCTTGCTGAAAATTGGCACTTAATTTTTAGTGTTTCTGGTGATAAAAAAGTAACTGTTTGTACCCCATTCCATATCCTGAGTACGAAATCGAAATTTTTTTATTTAGATCACTGGATTTTTCTTTTAATGTTTTGTTTAAAATGAACAAGCTGCATATCAATTCGGTCATTTTGTTAAAAAAGTAAACTGCTCAAATTTATATGTACAGAAATATCCTTTAGGGTCCTTCGAGATGTCCTATAGCAAACTGGAACAAAATCCTATGGGTCACATATTCTAGATTAGAATCCTATAGGAATTCCTACACTGTAGGAGAATCCCAAACAGATCTGTAGGATTCACATAGAGTCCCACTGGGCGTCCGACAGGAAATTTTCGAAAGAGTACCAACCTTCAACGATTTTGTAAACTTCACTGGCCATTCCTCCTCCCTCCCCGTCACTGTTACAGGCACCTGAAGGTCCGTATTTATCATAGGTGTCGCCAGCAGTAGCAGTAGAAGCACACCAGCCGCCAGCCTGGACAGCAAAATATGTGTAGCCACGAGATTTGGCCGCTAGGTAACATTTGTAAATTGGGTTGCTTCTTGTACTGTAAGCGCCATCAAGATTTGAGTCCGAACCTTCCAGCGTGGCAATGGCTCTAGGGTTAGAATCTGTCCAGCACCCAATGCTGTGGTAATCTGTAGAAGAATTGGGGGCGTCTCGATAGTCCGAAGGTTCATTGGTCCGAAGGTTCATTGGTCCGAAAAACGGTAACATTTTCATCGGTTTTTTAATCAAGGGTTCATTGGTCCGAAGGTTCTGTAGTGAACATTCGGACCAATGAACCTTCGGACTATTGAACCTTCGGACTATCGCTACGGCCCCGAAGAATTAACAAAAAACTCATGAAAACGCTTTCACTTTCTTGCAAAGTATGTTTACTAAGTATTTTATGTTTGTATAGTGAAAGGTTTTCTGATATCCGACTCTTATTATGCAGTGGGTGATGCCACGAAAGCTTGCTATCCTCTGAAGTTTGTGTAATGGGTGGTTAAACTGAATATAATTGTCCAATTAAGATGTGGCTTGTGGAACATGTACACACATATAGGCTACCTTGATTACTCACTTTTGTACGCCAACGATTTCGAGTACGAGTAAGCACCATCATGGCCGTTGACGTGTGTCCTGTCTTCATAATCATGGTGAAAGGTCACAGTGGGTGGTGTAGTTGACATATCACAATACACCTCGAAAGCGGCTACACCTCCACCGCCATCTGGGTCAACCCAATAGACGCCGCTAGTGCTGTTGAATCGTTTCCATTCTGTGCAAGAGGGCAAGGCTGAAGAACAGAACGTTTTACATAGTAAATGAAATAAATCGGAGGCAGAGAAACAGACAGCATCTTTATTCTAAATTTTACATCAAAGCGACCGTTGCAAAAACAGCACTTATATGCACTTACATTCTTTAGTTTTGCATATAATCCTTGGATAAGTAGTGACTAGAACACGACTCAGAATGACTGGAAATGAGTTTAAGACGACCGAAATCAAAATAAACCCCGTCAACTGCGAGCTTAATTTGTTATTTTGGGTGATTACCGCAATTAAAAACCGTATACATGTCGCTCACAAAAAACTTTTATTGTAGTCATGCGGAATAATACTGATAAAAATAAATACACAAATATTTTGACAACTCATGACAAAACATAACGCAGCGTTCTTCTATTTTTTTTTCAAAATAACCACATTGTTTCAGGTCCCTTTTCTAAAATAACCGCAAACATTGCTTTATGTCGTTATCCATCTAACTTTTATGACATCTGCCTCATTTTTTAATGAAAAAAATATGTAACATGCAAAGTAGAGAGTAGATGACAGCTAAACTATTTGGCTATAACTTACCTGGTTCACACTCTAATGGACCAACAGTGTAATAGGCAGATTCTGCGGAACCCCCAGTGTCACCAGAGAGGAATTTCTTTATGGGTAGTAAGGACTTGTCAGTAAAATACCCCTCATCTATTCTCCACACGTTGTCGTTCTTGTTACAGTTACAATCACTTCTGCCATCTATCGGAAATAATACGGTTGATGTTACGTTCTGAGTAATAATTAAATGATTCAAAACAGAACGCAATATAAAATACTTATCTATCTTTATAACTGTCAGTTAAATACCCGTTAACTTTGTTAGGAAAATAAGCCGAAGGTCTTAAGTAAAAAGAAATACGAACAAGACAAAGAATAATGATTACTTACCAACACAGGTTCCTGCAATTCCACATGAACATTTATTGACACTATTACCTCCGGCCCAATAAGGGATTGCATTGCCACCTATGAGAATAAAAGGTGGTATTACACATGCTATCTTAAGGAAATGGCATTGCAATGCCTATTTAAAAATAGACAAAAAAATAGACTAAAAAGCAAGTTTATAAAGTCCAGTTTTAGTGAAAATATATCTATTTGCTACATGTTTTTTTTTTGCCTTCGTCTCTTTTTCGTCCCCCTTTCTCTCACTCTCTCTCTCCTTCTTCCCCTTTCTCCCTCTCTCTTTCTCTCTCTCTCGCTTTCTGCTTACTTCTATCTTTGACGAAGTTGCAGGAACCTCCCAGACCGGACACTCCTTTACACCGGAACTTGGCATACTGGGAGCAGGTGGCCACGGTGTCTACAAACGGCGCCATGTGACTGGAGAGCGTGATGCCGTGATAGGTTAACGATTGTTTCCAACTTCCGCAAGATTCGTGCCCCTATAACAATATGTGCTCTTAGAAAACGGAATTCAAGCAATACTGAAATTATATAAGGCTACCTAACTGTTTTGACAAAGGATGGCTGCCTCTGCAATAGTGACAACATTGACCCATACCCATGGGAAGACAGTTGCTTTCATCAAACGTCATCAATCCTGCATCACCTATTATGACAAGACTTAAACACGGTTAAAGCTATATTTAAGTATAATATGCCTTTGGAATGCCACAAAGTGATATTTGGTATGTCAAAATATCCTGCAAATCCACTCCTCTTTTTAATTTATACCCCGTTCAAATAAATGGTTACATGTAACTGGTGCTGATACAATGTATTTCTTTAACGCCAGACATTTATAACTGCCCTATATAAGCAAAATATCAGATTTGCTGCAGTATGGCTGCAAATCAGCAGCAATGAAATTTTTCTTATAATATTCCGAAAACTCGTTACCGCCAACGTTTGGTTTGTAGCAGTAGTACTGCAATATTGCTGCAATCGTTTCATTTAGCTAAGTAGAAATGTTGTAACATGCTCACAGATTTTGATGTTCACCGATTGGTCGAGAGGCAGTCAAAGCCGATTTATAATTAGATATGCCTATTTCGTCGTATCAAAGTACTTACTGAGATTTGACTGGACTCGGTGTCATCTCTACTGTGGTGTATAATTGTCTTCCCAGGTGGCGATGAAGTCATGTTACACTCTACCATGAAAGGCCCAACACCATAGTTGGCTCCGTCAGGGTCGATTTCAAAGTAGCCGCTGTACCGAAATCCATACTTGTAATATTCGTAGCAGGAGCTCAAAATGGCTGGAAAATCGTAACTCGTAAGTTTCATATATTTTGTAATGAATGTACACGTCATGCATTTTTCTGAAGTTCTAAAACATAGAGTTAATAAATTTAAACTTTCGTTAAAAGGACAGATATTAGAACGAAGTCGCCATATGCATAAGGAGTGACTTACATGAGGCATGAGGACGATAGAAGTATTGGGCCACATTTTGAAGGAAATCACGATAAAAGCGTTCATGGACAGAGGTAGGCCTACATGTAACTCCTTTGTGGTACCTCGAGTAAAAATAATTTTCAAAAACAATTTTAAAAATATTAATACATTTACAAGATATTTACATATAAGATGGGTGTCAAACCTTTCCATCATAAACATGTACTCACATACACATTTGTGAGTTATCCACAAGTATTTCCCTTGTCCCCCGCAAGGATCACCAAACACTCCATTACTTGAACTGACTGTACAGCTAGTACGCTGCTGACACAGGTTCTTGACGGCTTTTATAGTAGCTCTCTGATCTGCCCTGCAACCAATACTCTCCACTCCGTAGAACGCATCCAGAATGTCTATCCAGGTCCCAGTAGGACAGGACAGAGAGACAGAGCTGCCCTCATCGTACTGGCTGGTATTTGTATATCCTACAGTTGAAAAGGATAAAAACAGTGGTCAAATTATGCAACAGTTTGAATTTATTCACCATCACAATTGGTTTTACAGCTCAAATAATGCATTGACCAAACATGTACATGGTGCCTGGTTTTTGCTTATAATTACACATACTAGCTACAGTATTTTGTACCAATACTTAAAACAATATATATTAAAGACCTAAACTGGATTGACCACGCTCTAACGGTACCTTCATCGTAGCCATACACCTCGAAGCTCGAGCTCACGTGACTATTCCACTCTAGGGGGTTGAAACGTATGGAGCGCCCTCTGGCGGCGGGTCTCAGGTAATTGTATCTAGTCGTAGAAGCATCCCAATTTCCTGGAAATTTCTGAAATAGTAGACTCAAAATATTAGTGTTTAATAATCCTTAAGAAGTAGTGCATCATCTTATACTGTTAGCATACAGGGCCTAAGCACACGTAAACGATCTAAGTGGACTTTTTATTTGGAATTTCACGGACGTTTATGTTGTTGGATATCTAAAATGCTTTTTCCATAATTAACAAACGGTCCATTCTGTATAAACGCTATAGTCTTACTGTACACGTTCCATCGGCTTTGGAATAGCATTCAAAATTGGACCCGTCGTCGGAGAAGAGGAGCGTGTATCTTTTCACATATTGCGTGTGGGATGAACGTCCCTGAAATGATATTTATCGTGTGAAAGAAGAATCTGAAAGACGTGTTAAGGTAAAGATGATATGTTCTCTCTTGACAGAAGCCATGAAACCAAGGTATATGTAAAAGTTGAGCACAAAGTTCATGTGTGATGAATAATAACCGTATCATACCCCTTGTGACTTTCAGTTCGTTACGTGTATAAACCGCCTCTCCTTTTCACATGAAGTGTGTGAAAAATAAAACTTTTAAGTTTTTAGAGATTTTAAAAGATTTTTAAGTTTTTAAAGATTAAAATCTCTACAGGTAATCAATATATGCTTATAATTTTATTGCCAAAAAGAAGCATCAAGAGGCAGAATATTACAAATGAGTTATCTTGAAAACAATAGACTATCTATTACAAACAGATTCCTGTAGGGGTATTCTGTGAACACAACACACCACTGTTGCCACTTTGGTAATGGTCATATTCCTTCCAAAATCAATTTGGTACCACTGGGTGGCGCTGTTGCCGCCGGCACACCAAGAGGGGCTGCTTCCCATCCTGCCGCCATTAAGAGCGCAACTGCCGTGTGTTGAAGATGCAGAGAGAGAGGAAGTGGGTATGACGTTACTTTGCATCCCTAGAGGTCGCTCGCGTCCTGGCACAGAAAAAAAATTAGTAATACAAACTACATGCAAACTATGCTGCTTGTCATTTTGCAAGAAAAATAAAATAAAGATAAGCAAAGTTTAATTTAAAACTGTTTGTGGTCAATCTTCATTATAGTTCCATTCACTAGTTACTTTACTTCTAAAAAAAGGGCATAGCATTCTCTTATCAATTGAGATGGGGTTTATGAATGAACGTCATTCATAATACAATCCACCACTTTAGATCTCTTTCATCTTTTATCATCAGTATGGTATACAGAATAAACTGCATTACTTGCGCCATGAACTATTCTCTTAACAGCTATGTACAAACTGCAATCCGATTTAAATATTTATGTGAATTTCTATGTGATACATTAGCATTTAAATCTCACCTTCCACCCAGGAGGTACAGACCAATGGCCCAAGTGTTTCAAAACCCATTTCATCACCGCCATCAATATCGTTAATTCTGGTCTGCACAATGGGAAGAATATTCTTTTCCTGAAGGTACCCAGAATCATTCCTCCATACGGCATCGTTCTGTGCACAGCTGCAATCGCCTGATGTAAAAACAATGATCTTAGTTTATTTTTTTAAAACCGTTTTGCTGATGGCGTCTTGCAAATCAGCGTTTCTCGGGTCAACACTGCTACTTTGGTTACTCTACTATTTGGGCTGGTATCAGCAAAAAGCTATCGGGAAATAAGAGTTTATACTAAAACTATATGATGCAGAGACTATTTTCAATAACTCTATAATTAGATTTTATCACTTATAACGAATTACACCAATTGTCAATGGGCATTAATTAACAAAACAGCCAAACATCGGTTTAAAAGAGATCATCAAAAATATGCCACGGGAACATGTCCAATTTTTTTTTCTGCAGCGTTCATGTAGTTTCCCTTCGAACCTATTGCTGTAACACCCAATTAGGATTATTGAGTAATGGTCAAAAATACGCTTCCAATTACTTCTACAACTAAAAAGGACACCTTATAACAATGACTAGCCCACCTATTTTTAATATATTGATAACAAAGTCCCTTCGTATATGCCAGATACGATAAAGTGATATATACGAAAAAACAACAGGACATATAGTTTAAAAAGTTGTCCTTCTTTATGTACACTTACTTCTTCCGTTTTCACAGGCGGAATATTTCCCACACAGACACCTGGAGACAGGGGATCCTCCAGGGAAGTAAGCACCCCAATACCTGTATACTCCAGTACGATCACTATGATCAGTGTTTGAACCAGGGTCTACAACAGTAATTTATCGTTATTGCTATCATATTTGATGCTAGTATAACGAAATGACACGTTGATTTTAATTCATATATACTCACTGTTTAAATATTAAATAATATTTGCATGGTTATTGCAAATTTTACAACATTGTTGTTCGAAAAACGGACATGATGAAAATACACCACAATAAATTAATGTGACAAATGGGCTCTATCGTACTCCCTAATCCGTGACACTCTATTTGTCTGTATTGGTGACAGTGGCCGGACATATTCAATAAGGCAGTCATTTGGTCCATAGAAGCAGTAGAATACGCCAGATCTCTGTAAGTATAGCCTCCCTGACCAGGCCCAAGTTGACTGCTTCGACCTTCTATATCATGGTGGACAATGGTCAATGGGGGGTCAAAGGTCATCTCACATTCCACCTGAAAGGGGTCCATTCCACCAGGACCGTCTACATCGATATCATGGCTCCCACTACTTAAGCCCTCTTCCTTCAGTATGTCGCAAGTATAGGCTCCTGTAAAATTCTCGATTACTGAACATTTGGAAGAAACTGTAGCGAGGAAAATGTATTGTTATGGCATGAACAGTTTAGCTTCCCTTCATTTTTTCCTAATTTACGAAAAGAGTACCATAAAGACATGAAATAATAAAATTTTTATAAAAAAATTCACACAAGAAGTAAAATTTGTTTCTACCTCTGCTATGAGTGGTGGCTGTCCTCGATATGTTCCTGCTCCTGACACCTACAGGTCTGTCGTTCACGGCGGTCAGTCGTAAGGTATAGCTTGCCCCTTCTTGTAACCCAGTGATGAGGTTAGTCGTGGTCTGAAGGTATCCAGGGTCCTCCAAGCTCAGCACGGTGGTATTGGTGACGTCAGCAGCACTCTGGGGCGTTACCTCTAAAGTGAAGGTTTGAGCGAACCCGCCATTGAAGCCGGACATCCACGTGATTTCTAGAGACGTAGATTGGCTTTCGTTCACGTAGACAAAACTCGGATATTGTGGAGGTCCTAGAACAAAAATAAATAAATAAATAAATAAATAAATAAATAATAAAAAAAATCACTATTTACCACAGAATGATCAAGATATTGTTTGGCTATAGCTCTCCTATTCAGCAGAACCCAATATCCTTTTTATTTTGTCAAGTAATCTTTAAATTCAATCAAAATTCAATCTACAATGTACTCAGTTACAACAATGGTTATACGTTTTTACCTTTTCTTGTCAGACAGATATGTTACGTTTATTGAGGAACCTGACATTGAATTAAAAGAAAAACGCCTTAAATAACATAAGTCCATCTAGGTATTGATTCTTCATCCAAGCAAACACAGAACGGTATTACTATTTTATCATAACGTTTATATAACCGAAAAAAGGCAACAAAGCTGTCAAATGTACTGACAAAAAATCGAAAAAAAATAATGCACAAAATAGCTAACTGTCAATTCTGATGCAAAAATTCATTATGATTATCAGCAAAGCCAACATTAAATTCTAATTATGCAAAATGTGTAACTAACAAATGGCTTCAGGTCCAATGAAGTTCAAGTTCGTACTTTGAATATTCCGGAAATTGAAAATTTCATACTTCCAAGAAAAAATAACAACCCAGTCAAGCTGGTTTTCCAATTTGATCTGTATGTTAATCCTATGAACCATTCTTTTAAATTACAAAATAATATGTAACACGGTCAGTTTTCCATTCATAATATTTGTGGTGGCAGTGAACACGGTAGTTTTTTTTTTTTTTTTTACAATTTTGATGCAATATGATTAACGGCATAATCAGCACCAATTTTCAATTACCTACTATACATAACACTGACGTCCAGAAAATGTAAGTACCATTTGGTTTTATGCCTGTTGGAGTCCCATAAATAAATGCCAATATATGATAAATAAAAAATTCACAAAGAACTGAAAGCAACCACACTAGTTTTCAACCCAAGCTACACTTCAGTCCCATAAATCTTTTCAGTAGGTTTGAGAAGAGCAAGTGACATGGTTTTCCTTAAATCGTCACTATGGAGGTAGGGCCAAAGCACGGATTTCTTAAGTTTTGATGCAATATTAAATAATGCTTTTAAGTTAAAACTGTTTTACTGTTAAAACGGTATAATGACCATCAATTTATAATAACATAATAAAAGCATTACGGATATTCAGAAAATGTGGCATGCAAAGGTCTTCACAGGAGTTGAAAGTCACACCTTGAAAATGTCAATATTTTATCAACAATGTTGTTGAGATGCAAAAATGTCAAAAGAATACTTTGACGTATCTAATTAGTCAATAATGAGACTGTTAACATGTCTTAGAATTAAATCTGAAAAAAAAAGCCACTCATATACAAAAAAAAGGCATAACTTCATCAAAACTGAACTAATCAAGCTGATTTTCGAAGTTGACCTGTATTTTATTAAAATTGTTCACTACTGTGAATTTCAAGACAACAGGCCAATCGGTTTTCCTTGACATGTGTTATCAGTGTTGCATATACGCCCAAAAAAGAGTAAAAACAGCATAACTTCGGAAAAATGGCCCGATCATGCTGATTTTCGAACTCAACCTATATTTTATGAATATTCTTCATTTCTGTAAGTTTCAAGCCAAAAGGTAAAATGGTTTTCCACTTATCGTGTTATCGGTAAAAATGCACGGCGACAGCGACGGCGGCGACGACAGATGCAGATGACGGCTATAAGTGCTGATACATCTGTGTCTGTACATAAAAAGAACACACCATTATTAATATATTTATCAGAATTTAAATTTTTAAATAATTATTACAATTGTTATTAAAATAATTCTTTAAAGACAGTAATCAGTCATGCCAATAAACGTTAAAACCTTTTCTCAAACATTTTATATAATAAATGAAAAGAATTAACCCTGAATAAGAAAGATTTAAAGAATTTAAGGTACTTAAGACAAAAAAAATTGTAAAATTTTTTGGTTTTATTTCTTTACGTGCAAGTTTAAAACTCTTACTTTCAAAATAACAAATTATATATCATGCACAACCACAACAGTGTTCACTCAAATAAATATATGTACCTACCACAATTAAAGTCCATAAACAAATAATAATATAGTACAAATATAAAATAATTTAGGAAATACTTTTAATAAATTTGAAAATGATACTGTGCAATAATCATGTTAACTGAAAGTAACAAGATCTTTTAACGTTTCATTTTTACAGGATATGAATTGCGAAAGAAACCATGAACTTTTTATTAATGGGCCTGGTGACTTCAATATTTCTAAAACTAATAAAAAGTAGAGTGACAGATAACACTGCAAAATAAACATGTGATACGCTGCATTGGTCTAATCTACTGATCTAAATGTAAGCCCTGATCTAAATGTAAAACCATAATAAATAATTCAGAAGTATTCAATAAAGCATGACGTTTGAAATAAATGATGCTTTTAGAGCTACGTGTTTCACTTTACTGATGTATTGTAAGCCACTACCATCCCATAAATAATTCAGAAGTATTCACTAAAGCAGGACGTTTGAAATAAATGATGCTTTTAGAGCTACATGTTTCACACTACTGATGTATTGTAAGCCATTACCATCCCAAAAACAATTCAAAAGTATTCACCAAAGCATGGTGTTTGAAATGAATAATGGTGCTTTTAGATTAGAATGTATTATTTTGATAAATGGCACTTTTCCTACCAAAATAAAGAGCTGTTATCCCTTTTAATATGATCTGTCATCAGTTTCTGAAACTTTATGCTGAAAGGTGTGTTTATATATATATATAATTTAACAGCCATCATAACATCAAAGAGTTAAAATGAAATGCGTAAGATTGTTTTGAGTTGAAAAACATAAACATGTATTACAAAATTTGATTGAAAAAGGAATGTGCAGATTAGCAAAATACAGAAAATGCAGTTATTAATCTATAGCATTACATCTATAGCAATGTTGGCCAATCACAAAATAAGTTTGTAAATTTATTTGCAATATTAAACAACATTTACCGGCATGATTATCACTGATTCCTTATTATGTGACACTGTTAGTTTAGACTCTTACAAACTGTATCTGGCAGAGAGCTTAACCAATGGGAGTTTACAGGGAAATCTCAACGTGTGTTTTACGTAATCTCATTTAATGGCCACCTAAACTCAATTAGGCAAGTGACTGAATAGCTCTGAACTTAACTATTGATTACCGACGGGAAAATTACAGACTGACCACACAAATGTGACTGGCAAAGGTTTTCAGGCCCATGAAATTTCTAATTCACACCTTAAAATGCCAATATGAGATAACAAAGATAATTGTTTTGAAAAGAGTTTATTTCCATTTTCAACACCCTTTTTTACATTAAACAAAATACCCTGTAATAAATTTACTGACATTTTTAAATGATCAAATAAGAAAAATGTTGACATGGAAAAATATCAAAAGAACAATTTTAAATGTCCAATTAGCTCCATTCTGAGGTTCTGAACATAGTGAATGATTGAATATGTCAAACTGTAATGATATGAATTTATTTCCATTTTTGATACTTTTTACACAATACACGATAACAGTTTTTGCATCATTTTTATAAAATCAGCTAACAATATTGCTAAGATGCAGAAAATGTCAAAAGAACACTTTTACATTTCCAATTAGTTCAATAATGAGACTGTTAATATGCCTAAGAATTGACTCTGAAGAAAAAAAACACTTATAAACAAAAAAGGCATAACTTCATCAACACTTAATCGATCAAGCTTATTTTCGAACTTGATCTGTATGTTAGTCAGAATGATCACTCCTGTGAGTTGCAAGACAATAGGGCTGATCGATTTTACCTTAAATGTGCTATCAGTATGCTGAAAAAAGCGAAAAAACAGCATAACTTTTTTAAATGGCCCTATCATGCTGATTTGATTTTCGAACTTGACCTGCGTATTATGAATATTCATCAGTTCTGTAAGTTTCAAGCCAAAAAGTAAAACTGTCTTCCACTTATCGTGTTATCGATGGTGAAAGTGCACGTCGACGACGGCGACGACAGACGCAGGTGACGGCTTTATGTACAGACACATCTGTGTCTGTACATAAAAAGGTGCAAAGAGAAAAACATAAAGGTAACGTCATCGTAATGTTATAAAACGTTTTTTGTTTGCTGGGATTTTATATCAAGATCATACAGTTTTATGAATTGTAATATTAAAATGGATATATTCTCATTCTGTTTAGCGAGTGGTTTTGATTTTGATTTCTGGACACCGTTCTGCGAAATGGCCTCACTGTTGAGTTTACTATGGTAGGCAAGACCTGTAGCCAGGAAGGGGATGGGTGGGAATAGGCCTTTTTGCTTGCACGGCCCGCTCTGGGTACAAGTCAGAACCAAGATTTTAAAAATAACGAATAGGAATACAGAATATTGGTCATGCCGTAGATATAACATAACATTTCGAATTCTTTGTCACCGTTCAGCAGTTCTAAGTGTCGGGGCATTCGTGTGTATTGAAGTGATACAATCGATCATATTTCATTGGATCTTTGACGTAAAAAAACACCTGCGGAACATAAATAATGCACTGTTATCAGTTTTACATTTGAACTGCAATAAAAAGGTCTTCTGAATGCAACTGAATCAGACAGAAATGAAAGGTGCAAAAGGTTTTCCGGGCTTTTCATTTATCGATTTTCAGTCTTTCAGAGCGCGTTGTCAAATAATCGTATGATGATGTTACTATTGATCTTTGATATTTGAATGGTTATCTTAAAAGAAAGATAGCTGAACACTGTTTGAAAGACGAATTCTTGATCCGTAACACAAACAGCCCATAAAAGAGTTCATATTTTGAGGTATTTAATTTTTCAATTGTTCTTAGAAAGTTTTTAATTGATATCACGTGAAACGTTACAGCATTGTCAAATTCTCAGCATTTGGATACCCCATATTTCATTTAAGATTTGCAGTGAATTATACTATTGACCTACCATTGCACATGTCTTTTACTATAGGTACATGTAACTTGGAATGATACTGAAGCACATGTAGCCTTTCTTTTTTAAATCGGAAGACACACTATTGTAGATCTCCTGTTGCAGGTACCAGGATACCCCAAAACGTACTTTATAAATAAACTATGCACATGCCTCTGTTGTAAAAAAATTTCAAAAACATCAAAAGGTCTACATTCATATTTATTGACACATAAGGGAGAAGACTGCCAAAAGCGGAGGAACCTTCAATAAACTAGGTTGTTAAATCCATACATACAGATAATAGTGCATTTATTTATAATTATTAAGGACTATTTGTCAGGTGCTATTTGAGAAATATAGTAACAGTATACTGCCGTTGTTTTTCACATTTGTCATATATTCCACAAATGGACTTAAATGAAATAAATGATAACCTGTCATTTATATTGGACGCTGCGGTGACTCTGTAATGGGTTGATAAGTCACTGGTCTTTGTCCATTTGCTGTAGTAATTTTCCTATTTTTTTCACTGCTATCAAAGCTTTTCCTCGTGTTCAAATATGATAAAGGACATGGAAGACTTTATAAAGTGCACACTGATGTAAGAACAAAGTTATCATCAATCTCACGTGAGACAGAAAAAAAATCAGCTCACCTAAGTCTGCATCCAGGTGCTCCCAGTCTTCATCCGCTACAGGTACTGTTCCAGCGTCATCGTATTTTGTTCTATCATTAATCTCACACGTTTTACTACTGCTATGGTAGTTGACAGATGTACAGGTCGCTGTGCCGAGATGAAGACAGAGGACGGTGCAATGCGCTTTGTCGCGCACGCTGTACGTCGTTGGTTGTGCGCCGCTGAAAACTCCATTTGAAAGTCTTGAGCCGTAGGAACTTTTGAAATATCCCCAACTGTATGAATGTCCTCTACATAACTGAATTGATAACGCAAAAATAATAAATATGGATGTTTTTATCTGCTGTCCCATTGCGCAGTTTGTAAAATTCTAATAAAATTAATTTATAAAATTATACTGAAATATTATTTTACTCATTCCACCGCTTTGTTCAAGCCACACGAAGAGGCATCTTCAAACTATTGGAATAGCTGGGTCATACAAAGAGCATAGATTGAGTAGCGGTGCCGAAATATAAAAATAGAATCATGTTATTTGCCTTGTGGAACAAAAAGATCGGAAATCGAAAAACGAAGGTTCATTTCCAATAACAAGTTGGGCAATTATTTGGTCAATTCCCCTAGCCAATTATTATACATGTATCGCAAGAACAGTGTTTAGATCATAATCTGTTATGATTATTTTGATTGAAAAGCTTACATTTCGCCAAAAATCAATGATCTGTTTACGGGTAATGTGGCGAAAAATTGGAATTATGAAATGGCCAAAGGGTTGGAAGTTGTTTTGAAGTTTGTGCATGGATATTCAACCACAGTAGGATAGTAGCAAAATATCGAAATATGAACGCAAACCACGATGCTCCTCAACTCCCTCCCCCCTCCCCAACCCCCAATTAAAAAGAACAATCGATAGTTACTAAAATATAACTTTTTGATGCCGCTGGGGATATTGTAATGACTATCAGATTTTTTAAAAGAAAGACTGACATAAAAAGGAATGATACTGGAGTAATCCAACCAAATGTCCCGTTCTTGGTCTTATATGAACACCATGTGGTTCAGGATTTCACTTTATTAGTGTCTAAATGTATCATCGGTATATTTCCTTAATCAAATTGATCGTCACTGGAAGATTACTTTGGCGTGCCTGGTAGTTTCTCAAACGCTGTCAGCCTCCATACTCCCGCCTCCCTTTGCATTAAAAGCTACTACTGAATCTAATCCGTGGCTGTTTTGTTCATAATGTCCCTGAGAAGAAGAGTAAATGTATGCGTGAGCACTGCCTTATTGATCGGGATAATGTTTGTCGATTTCGCGTATGCAGCACCATCGGTACTGCCTCAGTGACCCCTTTGATTTCAATATAAAATATCATAATACAATGTGAAAAACGTTCTGAACAAGAATGTCCTCTGCAGTTCTTTAATGTAGATTTTCAGTAGTTCTATGACAACAAAAGAAAACATCGTGCTAAACAGTGCATTGTGTTCGGTTCATGTAGAACCTCAAGCATCCAGCGCCATCTGCCGGTCAATCCTTCCCGTTAAGTTTCCACATCACACCGCGCCATGTACTCGTCCATTGGCCGAAAATCGATCATCTTAGGGATTTTCACCCACCATGATTTAGATACCACACACTCTAAACTATGCAGAATTGCTTCTTTGCCACTGAACTGAGTTTTGAATAATAACTTCCGTAATATTCAATTTTTTGAAATTTTATTTAGCGGCATATGACTTGGAAAATGGGGAGTGTTTGAGTGTATTGTTGTCATGTGAAATCTCTATATTCTACCTACCACGACTTTTTAAGTTATCACCCTTCTTTTCAGACGAATGTCCTGAAAACCAACATGGCTATCACTAAAGGTGGTTTTTTGCATATTGAGGTCTTGATATAAAGTTACATTTAACGCACCCAAATTGCATTCTTCATAATTTTGATGTGTAATCTTTTGAAACAATTTGGTTAATTAAAATCTCAATGGGACATTCAGAATTAAAATGACAGCAAAAACCAAGAAATTTAATTTTGTAACCAGCTGAAAATTTTCCCATTCAACTAAAGTTTGGAAGATAACCCATGACTGGAATTAATGCTCATCGCTTACAAAAGCGCGATTATGTAAAAAATGTACAAAGTATGCCGTTGAAAAAGACAATTATTAGTAACGACTTATGTTGTGATACATAACAGCCGCCTGCATTAATAACCAATGTTCTCATACAGCTTGATTAAAATTAAATATTCATATGTATCACCTAGGTTATTTCGATGAGGACACCTCCCACCTTTGACGAATTTGATGCATTGTGCATTTTTTTTTATAAAAGCTCCAGGCTTTTATTTATAGCTTGGTTGCTATAAACCTAGAGGCGTAATTTCTGCCAGACACCCAAATGCTACTTCATTCAATATTGTGGCTTCCAGAACGTGGCTGCTGAATGGCAGCAACAAGGGATACATACAGGGGTATAGTTCATTCTGATTTCCTTACCGATATATGTTTAGAGGCTACAAAATGGGACAGCGGATAAAAACATCCACAGTACTGCTTTGTTTGCTGTCCTTTCAGTTGTGTGGAGGACATTCGTACAGCTGGGGATATTTTAAAAGTTCCTACGGAACAAGACTTTTAAATGGAGTTTTCAGCGGCGCACAACCAACGACGTACAGCGTGCGCGACAAAGCGCATTGCACCGTCCTCTGTCTTCATCTCGGCACAGCGACCTGTACATCTGTCAACTACCATAGCAGTAGTAAAACGTGCGAGATTAATGATAGAACAAAATACGATGACCCTGGAACAGTACCTGTAGCGGATGAAGACTGGGAGCATCTGGATGCAGACTTAGGTGAGCTGATTTTTACCTGTGTCTCACGTGAGATTGATGAATCTTTTAATTTTTTGGTCTTAGCAAGTAAATCGGCGTGTCTCTGCTTACGTGGAGTCTTCTACTTAATTACAGTCGTTTTTTAACATGCATGAAAATGGGAAAATGTCTTAATAGTGTTGGGGAAATGTAATATTTGCTTCTCTGTTCATCTGTTTTTCCCGCCTTTACCTGGAGAATAGGTGAAAAAAACTTTGATTAGATATTCAATAATACTTTTTGTACTTGTACTCAATAAAAAAGAATTTGTTATAAAAATATTTTAAATGATGAAGTTCTATTATCACACTACAATATTAATAAAATTGATAAAATGATTTGAACCACACACTCTTTACTTCATATTTGTTCATAGCTATATTTTTCAGGGTGGGGGAATTGTCCCGAGGGGGATTTATCCGTGGGGAATTGTCGTTGAATAAGGAAATAGTCTTAGTTTGGCACTTGTTGCTGCACATTTCGATCTTTAGGTAGTTGACCAAGGCACGGTGATAACAGATGTCTGGGGTATTGAAATGTCTCAGCCACTGTGTTTCTGGGCACACACATTTGTTTGCTATGATCAATATTTTTGGCAAGTATTTCTATCGAGCTACATCAGTTAGAAGTCATTCAGCTTTTTAGCTGCGGTGATATTTACCGGCATTTACCCTAGTGCAGTTTTAGCAGCTACACTGGGAGTTTTATTAAGTTATTTAATTTTTATTTGGACGCTTTCCACTATCCCCTATCACCTGCCTTTGTCCTTGTGTTTTTCCCTAGTATTCTCTTTTGCATTATTCTACTTTCAAGAATTAAAGCATTTTTGGGAGAATTGCAATTTTAAAAATATGGGTATGTGCCAAAACTTAATCTAATTTATGAATTTATGCCCCCATTGCAAGTCAATAATCAAATGAATAACGTTTTCAAATTAACGCGAGTTTTATGACAAGGTCATATCTCGTCATTTTATTATTAAACCGGCAGGTAAAATGGCCCAAGTGCGGTTTCTTTCCTATTTTATCTTTTTCTTTGAGGGGGCGTATTACTCAGATGGCGTATTTGGTCCGTATATCCGTTGCTATTATAAAACAGAACTGAGACGCTGTAATGCCTAAATCTGAGGAAATATACTGCAAATAAATAAAATTGTCGTAGTAAAAAGACAACATATGTGTGTAGGTAAGGACCTGTCCTTCCAAATTTACTAAGCACATATACTTACTTAGTTTAAGTCATTTTGTCTGATTTTTTAATTAATCCCTTATAAAAAGCATTTAATAATTCCAATTGATTTCTGTACAGGTTAAGAGATATTTACGCCATCGAATTTAAGATCTTATATACATGTATTACACATAAATTTGTAATATAATTACACATTACCTAATGCAAACGTATATATAACTTTAAAGACAAGAAAGTTATAATAATAATTAATATAGTAGAGTAAATAATATGGTATTACCCATACTTGTAGTAAGAAATAAAAAACCTAGTTACGTATAGGGTGAGAGACCAAATAGAGAATGACTTGTGGCCCACTATCACAATAGTAAAAGTAGATCAAAATCGTTATCCAAGCATACGTTAGCAGAAAGATAAACATGTATGGCATATAAAATATTTATATAAAGATTAAATAAGATAGTTAAAATTATTATAAACTTAATTAACGCAACACTCCCTGCATTATAGAAACAATGCTTATGATGTAATTTTAACATTACAATAGAATTATAAGGATGTAACAAATGGATACTATACTTCCTGCTTTGAATGAAAAATATAAACTTCAAGTCCCTGGTGTTTACACATCTCTCTGAAAAAATTCTTATGGTTGTCTACATTACTGGATAGTTACACATTACTAAAGTACCTTATTAGAGATGGTACAAAATATCGAGTTAAGATGCAGGGATGAGCCTAGCAAGTTCGTGAGTAAGAAGAATTTTTATTTTCTCTTTAGGTATGGTGTCTTTAATAACCACTTAGCAACTCTTTACAAAAGGTCAGAAACACAAACCCTATGTTGAGTGAGGGTTGTTTGCGTTATACATACATCTGCCCCTAACTGCATGTGGTATTACATGTTGCCATTAAAAACACTTTAAGCAATTTGATAATCCTGTATCTCTTAATGTGAGATCAAAGCAAACATGCTTAAGAGCATGAATGGATGGGTAGAATGGGTCGGGAATACGAACTTTTAAAATACATATCATGGGTAATTTGTGTAATCAGTTTATCCTAACAATGTTCATTCACAACAGGTAAGTTTCACTTTCAAGAACCTTTTCAAGAACATTTTAATGTTAAAATGTGTAACTATCCATCATACCATTATTTTGGCAACGACCTCTGTACAATTGAAAATCGGCGAATGAAAATAGTAGTGTGGTCAAATCTGCCGGTGAATTCCGGATCATTCGGTGCCGAGTCTGGTAGCTAGGTAGGCCTGCATTGGGAGGTTTGCAGGTCGGTTTATTGTAAAAAGATAGGTAATCGCAATAACTCACTGACACGCTTTAGGCAACGAAATAATTCGATAAAGAAATGTTTTCCACGAGAGGTACGGACGAGTATAGCTTACAACTTTCTAGTATAGAATGAGGGTGCCTTCTTGGGTAAAAAGGCTCTCTGGAAATATCCCCATTTAACTCCAGGGGCGTAACAATGGTTCGTATACAAGTTATACAGAAGATTTGTACATTCAGGTGTCTCTAATTTTCAATCGAAGGGATTTTCGACTATATTTCGTAAAAATACGTTAAATTTATAGAGAATAATATCATGATTGGCCCAAAAAAATTGTACGCACAGTGCATCCGTGCGTACGTCCCTGAGTTACACAACAGAGTTTTAAAAGTTCCTTTTTGTTCTAGGACCTCCACAATATCCAAGTTTTGTCTACGTGAACGAAAGCCAAACCACATCTCTAGAAATCACGTGGATGTCCGGCTTCAATGGCGGGTTCACTCAAACATTCACTTTAGAGGTAACGCCCCAGAGTGCTGCTGACGACACCAGTACCACCGTGCTGAACTTTGAGGACCCTGGGTACCTTAAGACCACGACTACCCTCATCACTGGGTTACAAAAAGGGACAAGCTATACCTTACGACTAACTACCGTAACTAACAGACCAGTAGGTGTCAGGAGCAGGAACGTATCGAGGACAGCCACCACTAACACAGGTAGAAACAGATTTGGCTTCTTATCTTAATGACTTTCATGAGGATGTATTCTATTATTTCATTTTTTGCTACGCTTTGTAAATGAATTTATTACATATGAAGCTTTCAATTTGTTTATTAGCAAGAGACAAAGGGAAACAAAGCCTTTTATCCCATAAGCATACATTGTCGTCAGTATAATTTAAATGCTCAGTAATTGATAATTTTACAGGTACTTGCGACAAACTGAAGGAAGATGGCTTAAGTAGCGGGAACTATGATATCGATGTAGATGGTCCTGGTGGAATGGACCCTTTTCAGGTGGAATGTGACATGACCTTTGATCCCCCATTGACCATTGTCCACCATGATATAGAAGGTCGAAGCAGTCAACTTGGGCCTGGTCACGCAGGCTATGCTTATAGGGATCTGACGTATTCTACCGCATCTATGGACCAGATGACTGCCTTATTGAATATGTCCGGTCACTGTCACCAATACAGACAAATAGAGTGTCATGCACTTGGAAGTAAGTACGAATAAACCATTTTTAAAAACTAATTTGGCTGTTGAGTCTTTTTATCATGTATATAATTGTACCAATAATGTTGTCATAAATAGTATAAGTCGTGTTAATCTTTTAAATTATTTTTACGATGAATGTGAATTCAAACTTGCACGTTTCCTTTCAGGTGTTTATATTAAATATGATAATGATACATATAATTTCTGTTGTAGACCCTGGGTCAAACACTGATCATAGTGATCGTACTGGAGTATACAGGTATTGGGGTGCTTACTTCCCTGGAGGATCCCCTGTCTCCAGGTGTCTGTGTGGGAAATATTCCGCCTGTGAAAACGGAAGAAGTAAGAGTACAAAACAAAGGGCAATTTATAAATATTTGCCTTGTCCGACCATGGCATCCTTCTCCAAGTGTGAGGACCACGTAGTCCAAAGCAAACATAAATCTTATACTCTTAGTGGAATTTAAAGATATAAATTATCGCAATTAACCAATTCAGTTTAAAGCCCCATTGTTTCTTTTACGTAAAAAAAAAAAAAAAAAAAATAAAATATATATATATATATATATATATATATATATATATATATATATATATATATATATATATATATATATATATATATATGCTATTTAAAATGGACGCCGTCGGGCATGACATTTCGAACTTTGTGTCGTGCAATGTTTATCACATAGAAAATCTGAACATCCAACATGGCGGAGTGAGTTGACTAGGAGGTCAATTCACTTACCTCACGTGACTTCCTCTCGACTAATCATTGAGCGTCAAAATTCGTGATCATGTTCAAAATGATATTTGTTGCCTGGTATTTGTTGACATGCATAACATTATCCGTGATATCGACACTAGCCCTTATGTGAGTAATTAAAAAATATCCAGAGTGATTGAATCTTTTTCACATGAAATTCTTGTTAAGTAAGCGCGTTTGATTTACTAGATGTGTTTTTCTGGATACTTTTGAAATATCAAGTACCTTTTTTTTCTAATAGAAAATTGGGCTCCTGTAAGCATGCTCCCTGATAGATCAGAAATAAACGTAAGTGAATATTTTTGTAACAGGCGATTGCAGTTGTGTCCAGAACGATGCCGTGTGGAGGAAGGATTCCGGGTACCTTCAGGAAAAGAATATTCTTCCCATTGTGCAGACCAGAATAAACGATATTGATAGCGGTTATGAAATGGGTTTTGAAACACTGGGACCATTGATTTGTACCTCCTGGGTGGAAAGTGAGTTTTGAAATTATCACATCATAGTAGTAAGCCACTAAATATTATAGTGTTTTCAAACCCCTGTATTTCACAAAGAAACAGATGAGAACAAACATGAATTGCACTTTATGCATAAAAGAGTCGTGATTCAATCAAACTACACGTCCAAGTAATATTGAAAACTACAAAGTGAAAAAGTGTATCATATGCAATATATAGGAAAGAGTGAGAGTAGTGGATGAGCGGCAGGTGGCTACTTATAGCCGTAAAGCGATTTAGGGCGACTATAATGTATAAAGCCACCTGACACACAATAATGAGACAAGAGAATCGAACCATATTGTAGATTGCTCAGAAACAATTTTCTTTTGTTATTCGTTTTTTTTTTTCTATTATATTTTTCACGAAATTTCACTCTTAATTTTCATAAATGGTTTCTAATCTCATATTTTACTAATATTCTCTAGGTGTAGAGCGTCCCCTGGGGATGCAGAGCAACTTCATACCCAGTTCCTCTCTCTCGGCATCAACAACACATAGTCGTTGTCCCATCAATTATGGAAGAATTGGTAGTTCTAATGGGTGGTGTGGCAACACCGTGGACACCAACCAATGGTACCAAATAGACCTGGGAAAGACGATGAATATTACCAAAGTTGCAACAACGGTATTACATAAGCTTGAGAGCAAACGATCTTCTCATTCAGGTGACATCACCGATGCGGTGTTTGGCGAACGTTGATATTTTTCTCTTTCCTCTTTTTCGCCGTTGAGAAAACGTGTCTTGGGCAATCTTTTAAAAATTGGCAAACGGTCAAGTTTTGTCTGTAGTCATAAAACCTAGCATTTTTAAAGGCAAGGATAGTATATTAATGGTTTCTGATCAAACAGGATCGATCCATCTCCAAGGGGTTTCTGATGATAAAAGAGTCTAGAGAAATGTGTCGATTCCTTGGGACTTTATCTATGCAGATCTTTATTTTGGTGTCTTATTTCAGGGGCGCAGTGCAAGTGATCAGCATGTGAAGTCGTACAAGTTGCTGTTCTCAGATGACGGATCCAATTTTGAATGTTACACAAAGGCAGATGGCTCGTGCAAGGTAAAGACTAACTTTATACAGAATGCTCCAGTGGAGGCAATACAAGAAAAGCATCGTCTCATAAAATGTTTGTATTTAACTTTTAAGCATATATATGTGTGTCAGAATTATATCCAAGTAGGTATCAAGAGTCTTGACAAGGCAACTCCCCCGAGCAGCCGTCGGCGTGGGGTTCAGGGCCTGCTAAAAGGCCAAAGGGCCCCGAAATTTTTTGGCATTTTAAAGGCCGAACGATGCTATTTTGTACGGTTTAGAACTATGATTCAGCTAGTCAAAATTCTAACTTCAGTCAGGACCCCCTGCCCCCCCCCCCCAAATCCGTCGCTACTGTAGTAATTCTTTGTCTCTGGTTTTAGATATTCCAAGCCAACTGGGATAGCAGTACCATCCGTAGTAACTATATAAAACCTGCTGCCGTGGGCCGATATATACGGTTCAATCCCCAGACATGGAACAGTCGCTTGAGTGCCAGGTTTGAGGTATACGGATTTGAGCCAGGTAAGTGTGGATTCTGTAAATATGTAGTTTTACGTTCTTTAATTTGAGGGTTTCTGTAGTTTTAAAGGTCGGCACTGGGTAAGATACCCAGCTTTTCAAGATATGTAGACATATAAAATATGACTTTGGGACCTTTTCAAATGTGTATAGTGATTTAACTCTTTATGCTTTGATGCATTTTAATGTGAATGCTTATTCTTTAGGGTATACAAATACCAGCCAAATAAATGAGAACAGTACCGTCTCTCTGTCCTGTCCTACTGGGGCCTGGATAGACATTCTGGATGCTTTCTACGGAAAGGAGAGTATTGGTTGCAGGGCAGATCAGAGAGCTTCTATAAAAGCCGTCAAGAACCTGTGTCAGCAGCGCACTAGCTGTACAGTCAATTCAAGTAATGGAGTATTTGGTGATCCGTGTGTAGGACCAACAAAATACATGTGGATAACACACAAATGTGTATGTAAGTACCTGTATATGATGGAAAGGTTTGACACTCATCTTTATTTGCTTTATATCTTTTCAAGATATTGAGATGTTATGAAAATATTATCATTTGAACTGTAAATCTAAAGGTACCGGTATTAGAAGAGTGTCTCTCTGTGAAAGCATTTATACTAATTGCCTCTTAAATATGATCTAATACTTCTATAGCCCTCTTGCAGCCTCTTGTGTAAGTCAAATCTTATGATGACTGCGTCATTATATTTTCCTTTTAACGAATGTTTCAATTTATGAATCCCGATTTTCAGTATGTCATAGAATATTTCATTTGTGTATGATATGTACATTCATTACAAAATGTATGACGATTATATGCTACGATTTTCCAGCCATTTTGAGCTCCTGCTACGAATATTACAAATATGGATTTCGGTACAGCGGTTACTTTGAAATCGACCCTGACGGAGCCAACTATGGTGTTGGGCCTTTCATGGTGGAGTGTGACATGACTACCACGCCACCTGGGAAGACAATTATACACCATAGTAGAGATGACACCGAGTCCAGTCAGATCTCAGTAAGTATTTTGCCCCAACAAGAAGAGGAGCATGATGAAACAAATACGATATGTAAATGTTTCACCCTTTCTATTTTCACTTGCATTATTTAAACCACCCATTTCCATAGTCAATATTGTTACGATCTGGACTATGACGCTTTCAGTGATTTATTTTGCTATAGGGCTACAATGCCTGTGGAAGCTGGAGCCAAGACCTGACCTATTACGGCATAGATGTTGCCAACCAGATGGGTCCGTTTGTGGACTCCGTGGCCACCTGCTCCCAGTATGCCAAGTTCCGTTGTAACGGAGCGTCTGGCGTTGGTTCCTGCAACCAGGCTCAGGACAGAAGTAAGCACGGAGAGAGAAAGTGTGTGTCTGTGTGTGTGTGTGTGTGTGTGTGTGTGTGTGTGTAAGAAGGTTATAAGGATAAAAGGAACGACGAAGGTGAAGGCGATGGTGACAAACATGTTGTAAATAGATGTATTTTGAGTACAAAGTGAAATCTGTAGCGCTTACTGCTCTTTTTACAATGACAGCATCTCAGCACGTTATGTTCTCACTGTATGTTTTCATACCTATAGGTGGCATAGCAATCCCTTACTGGGCCGGCGGTAATAGCGTGAATAAATGTGCATGTGGAATTGCAGGAACCTGTGTTGGTAAGTAAATCATTCCATCTTGTCTCGTTCCTATTTCTTTGAATCACTTCTTTAACGTAAAATCCCAGGTTTGTTTTCCTAACAAACAATTGGGAAGGGTAATCGTATTTATTGTACACACATTGTCTTGTATTGTGTGTCGTTTAACACTTTTTAATGTTTATAATTTTTTATCGAAAATAACATGAAGGGAATTTTATAGAAAGAAAGCAAGGGCATTTTTGTTAAATATTTCAGTTCTGCACGCATACATGTCTTGGACTAATATAGAGGTAGAAAACAGTGAGATTGTACCAAATAAGCATTGCGAAAATGGCGACAGATATTCATGAGTGGCCTTCTTGGAACTGGCCGATATCTGAAACATATGTTTATGAAACCGAATTTCGCAATACAGAGTAAAGAATAATACACAAATCCGAAAATGGTTTTATTGATGATTCCTTGCAAATATCTCGCTTATTTTGCTTTTGACTTTGGAAAGACTATCAGCATCATTACCACTGCTTTCGGTTGATTCTATTAGTTTTAATACATACATACTCAGAACGTAACCCAAACTGTATTATTTCCGATAGATGGCAGAACTGATTGCAACTGTAACAAGAACGACAACGTGTGGAGAATAGATGAGGGGTATTTTACTGACAAGTCCTTACTACCTATAAAGAAATTCCTCTCTGGTGGCACTGGAACCGCCGGGAATTCTGCCTATTACACTGTTGGTCCATTAGAGTGTGAACCAGGTAAGTCATAGCCAAATGGTTTAGCTATTGACTAATGTCTTTTGATATTTTTTGATCGAACTTTTTAAAAATCTTTATGGGATATAATGTCTGCCTTTTCTCATTTCTTAACCCTTCAGTCCTAATGTTTTTATTGTTTTTGTATAAAATCAACTTGATTATTGGATAAATGGACAACGACAAGCATTGTTTAAGGTGAGATTAGACAGGACATTTATAACAATGGAATTATTATGCAAAAAAATATAATGATGCTACGCTTATTATTTTTTTTCATGAGGTATCGAGCTATTTCCACATTTGTTTATACAGTTTACGTTTTATTTGTGCCAGTATTAATTCTCATCAATTACGACAGAGTTATTGTGGGCCACATGCACGGTTAGTTTCTGCCGCAGTCAGTGATTTCAAACCATCCGACTGTTTTTTTTTTTTTTCTATACGGTATATTGCCACTCACCATTATAAGCTGAATGAAGTATTATTATTCTTTTATTCAGCTTTGCCGTCTTGCACAGAGTGGAAACGGTTTAACACCACTAGCGGCCTCTATTGGGTTGACCCAGATGGCGGTGGAGGTGTGGCTGCTTTCGAGGTGTATTGTGATATGTCAACTACACCACCCACTGTGACCTTTCACCATGATTATGAAGACAGGACACGCGTCAGCGGCTTTGATGTGGCTTACTCGTACTCGAAATCGTTGGCGTACAAATGTGAGTAATTACGGTAGCTTAGTTGTGTACCAGATGTTAAATCTTAATTGCACAAGTATATTAAGTTTAACGCATTTACACAAATATCAGGGGATGATAGGAACTTGTGCCATCCCCCACTGCATTGGTCAGACACCCTTCTGCAATGAAAATGCAATATCAAGTATTTATACGTAGCATGCATACTATGCACGAAAGGGAGAGAGTTTTCATGAATTTTTAATTCCTTTATAGACTACCATAGCATTGGTTGCTGGACAGATACTAGTACGAGAGCTATTGCCACTCTGGAAGGCGTGGACTCCAATCTGGATGGCTCTTACACTACAAGAACCAACCCAATCTACAAATGTTACCTAGCCGCCAAGTCTCGCGGCTACACGTATTTTGCTGTCCAGGATGGCGGCTTGTGCGCTTCTGCTGCCACTGCTGGTGACACCTATGATAAATACGGACCTTCAAATGCCTGTAACAGCGACGGAGAAGGAGGGAACTTTGCTAATGAAGTGTACAAAATTTATGAAGGTGTGTACATATGTATATGAGCAGTAAACTGTTTGAACAAAGTGAGCGAATTGATGTTTTGCATTGCGCAGGACATTGAAAAATGAAGTTTGTTCCTACAGAACAATACTTTAAGTAGAAAAATAATTCTGTATATAATTTCGATTCCCTGTGGTAGATTTAGGGGAAGTCACATTTGCTCTTGTAGCAACAGAAATAATGGAAATCAAATGCTAAATTTCAGCAAGGTTCTAATATCTAGGATCTAGGGGAATATCTAGGGGATCTAGGGGAATTTACATTTGCTCTTGTATTAACAGAACTAATGGAAATCAAATGCTAAATTTCAGCAAGGTCCTTATATCTTTCCTTACTTACAGCGACTGTTGACCAAGTGGCGGCATACGTGGATTACGTTGGATCTGAATGCAGCCAGTACATAAAATACGAATGCTACCATTCGGTCATTAACAACTACGGTGCTTGGTACGATCGACATGGACAGAAAGCGCCATTTTGGGGCGGAGGGGATCCAGACGGTACCCCTATCAACTGCGCTTGCGCACAAGACGGATCATGCGCAGACTCTTCAACTAGTATGTTAAATTTCTTGCTTTATTTGTAAATGAACGTTTTCAACTTTCGATTGTTCTCATACGTGGTCATAATAGGTTTTAAAAATTGACATACAAAGTCATAGGGATTTTATCTGTTTCAGGCCTACAGTTTATGGTTTGAAAAATTCTAATCTCTCTCACTTTTACACGAAAAAAGACGCTGTACAAAGGTATTTTATACCATGGTTCTTTTGTGGTTGGTCTCAATCTTGAATATTTTTTACAAATAACATATAAAATTAAGGCTCTTAGAAAAACAATTTGGTATCATGCGTACGAGGCAATAATTTCAAAACAATTTTAGCTACTTTAGCGTTAAAGACAAAGAGGGCGTCTGTTAAAGCGAGGATTTTTTTAGAAGTATCACTTGAAATGATGCGTCAAAATATTATTTACACATTGGATTCAGACTGTCTGTGATATACAGGTAAATGACACGTAGTGTGTGTGTTTGTGTGTATGTAAATATGTATGTGTATGTGTGTGAGGTAAAGTGATGCAACAAACACCATACTGTTTTTTTCTGTAGGATGCAACTGCGACAAAAATGACAACGTTTGGCGGTCAGACGAAGGAAACATCACAGAGTCAAGTTATCTGCCGATATCTATGATTAAGTTTGGAGACGCTGGAGAAGACGAAAAAGGATATCATACTGTTGGGCCCCTTACGTGCCGCGGGTAAACGCCTTGCGGACCACTCGAGGGGATACTGTATATTTCGTTCTAAAAAGAATTAAAAACGCATAGAAAGCGAAGAGACTTACATGTATGAGAAACGAGTCTAAAATGGAAATTACATTCTACTAGAGGTACTGATAGAAAATAGGAAATTTCTTATCTGTTCAGTATACGACCCAAATACGGATAAACCTGATTTTTTTACTCCCTTTAACCAGTATAGAAACTTTTGGGTGTAAAAACATTATAATATGTGGAGACTTTAATCTGGGGCTAGATCCAGTCAAGAATTATCAAAACAATATACATGTAAATAACCCTAATTTCAGAAACAAAATTTTGGAAATGAAGGACAGTTATAACCTCATTGATTCGTATAGACGATTGCATCCAAATATTAATAAGTATAAGTGGCTACGACGAACACCTTTTCAACAAGCTCGACTAGACTACTTTTTGACTACTTTAGCACTAAATCGTGCTTTATCAAGCCCGGCTATAGGACTGATCACTCGGCTGTAGTGGTATCACTTACCTTCCACGCATACGTTAAGGGTAGGGGCTTCTGGAAATTCAATAATTCCTTACTGCACGATATAACATATATTGAAGCAATTAGAAGTAAAATTATAGAGGTTAAAAAACAGTAGGCAGCCCCGGTATATAATTTCAAAAACTTCCGAAATATACCGTACAAAGAAATTCATTTTGCGGTAAATGATCACCTATTTTTTGAAACACTTCTGGTGAAAATAGGGGTAAGACAATTTCTTATGCTTCTTACCTAAGAAGGAAAAGTCAGAAACAGAAAAGAAGCTAATTAAGATAATTGAAATTTTAGAAAACATAATTTGCGAGGACAACATTCAGACTTTAAGACAAAAGCAAAGAGAATTGGAGGAAGTACGAAAAGAAAAATTACAAGGCGCATTTAATAGATCTAGAGAGGAAAAACAGAAAGAATTAGAAAAAAAAACGTCTGTTTACTTTTCTCTGGAATAATAAACCTGATAAAATTAAAAGAAATATCATTATAAGAGATTATAAAGCCGGGGGTTTGAGAATGGTAAGTATGAGGCACTTTATAAAATCGTTAAAATTCCATGGGTGAGAAGACTTATTGTCGAAAAAAAGAATACAAGACAATGAGGGGATAATCATGGTACTGACACAAATTTTGTCGAATATCATAGAATTATCTTAGTAGTAGTATTCCTGAAAAATTCAGTAAAATGGCCACTCCTTTAATTCCTGATCATATATTGTTATTGTCAGGCTGTTAGGCTCAAAGATTAATCATAAAACTTTAAGTTAAGTAGTTGTTCTTGAGATGTCAAAAGTTATGAATAAATGGAAGAAGTTATTAAATTTGGATGGAAATGAACATCCGAACATTTTTAACTTCCTTTCATGATAACAAAAGCTCAAATCTTAACTGGTTCCAATTTCGAATTAATCAAAATATCCTTACCACAAATTCACTGCTTTTCAAATATCAAATGGTCGACAATAATATATGTTCCGTTTGCAAAAGAGTTGTTGTTGTAGTTGTAGGTTCAGTTGTAGTCAGTGTAGGTTTGGTGGTTGTTGAAGTTGTAGGTTCAGTTGTAGTCAGTGTAGGTTTGGTGGTTGTTGTAGTTGTAGGTTCAGTTGTAGTCGTTGTAGGTTTGGTGGTTGTTGTAGTTGTAGTCGTTGTAGGTTTGGTGGTTGTTGTAGTTGTAGTCGTTGTAGGCTTCAAGGCATTTATTCTGGCATTGTGAGGTTACCCAAAATCACAGAACGATTTTCTAAAATATATATTATCCAGTACTCAAATTATTCTACTTGTCTCAAAAACGAAATTGCTTAGTTGGCTCTACAAGCCTCTCTCCAATTATTAATGTCATTTTATTGCAATTTAAATTTTATATTTACTTAAGAAGGTTTTCACGGGGTAAACCAACTTTGGGATGTTTGATTTCATCGCTTAGATATCTGGTGAAAACAGATAAGTCACTCTGTCAGAACACCTCAAATATAATTAATTTATTTGCAATCTGAATATTTTAGAGTACGACGATGTAATTAATTAAAAGCGAAATAGCACAACACATTTTTCTTAAGTGTGAGCGAGAGTTGTTCCTTTATTTGTATTGTCATGTATTTGTGATGTATTGTGTCAATAAAAAAGAAAAAAAACAATATTTATTGTAGATTTTTTTATTTGATCGTTGTTTTTACCGTTCAAATGTACACAAGAATATTTTGGACATGAAAAGATGATTTGAAGAGCGAATGCTAATTTGCCATCTACTGCCTGACTTGGACAGAATGCGGTCAATTCAAGCAAAATAAAATGAATAAATAAAAGGTAAAATTGTACGCATCATTTATCATAAACTTGTATGATTTTCTAATTCGTTAAACCCAAACGAACATAAAATACGTATAGTATAAACACAGGTACAGTGTTACAATGTAGGGGTGGAAGCGCTCAATTCGAATTAATCAAAATTAAAAATAATACAACAATCGTTATCCGTTTTTATTGAGATACCGGACATGTTGTAGATATAAGATAATATTTCGAATTCTTTGTTACCGTTTAACAGTTGTAAGTGTCGGGGCATTCGTGTGCACTGAAGTGATACAATCTATCATATTTCATTGGATCTTTGACGTAAAAAAAACACCTGCAGAACATAAATAATGCACTCTTATCAGTTTTACATTTGAACTGCAATTATAAGATCTCCTTTTGAAAGCAGTTGTGTCAGACAGAAATTAAAGGTACAAAAGACGGCGGTTTTCCGGGCTTCTCATTTATCGATTTTCAATATTTCAGTGCGAGTGGTGAAAGTAATGATATGATGATGTTACTGTTGCTGAA